TCTTTGTAACTTTGTTGATATTATCAACAAAGTTACAAAGTTACTATTATTTGTTTAAATGTTTAGGCCAAAGTTACCCCCAATGCAGGACAAAAGCTATCATGATATTATAAGATATTAATACTTTACAATAAACATATGCACCAGCCCCAATACACAAAAAATACATGAAGAAATGGAATATATAATATTAATATACACTCAATTTTCAGTAGCTCTTCAATAAGAAGTAGTACATGTATATGATTCATCACTGTGGAGATGGAGTAGCACCAGTATGTTGAAGAAATATTGATTAAAGCCAAAACATCATCAACAATCAAGCCAGTTCTGCTAAATATCCTTTGATAAATGAACTGGGTCAAGAACTCATCACATGATAACAATACATCCCAAGCAAACCATTTTCTATTTGTGGACCAATGTTACATTAAAAGGGCCAATGTTATACCATCTGACGCTACTTATTTCACATTCAAGTCAGACACTTGAATCAATAATTGAAAATGATCTCATACCCGCTTCACTAACTCGAATGATACCCACTAACGTCGTCTCTTCACTCACCCGCTTTTCTCTAGCCTAATGTTTAATATTTTTCGTAGGAAAGACCTCGACACCACTTAATTAGACGTAAACTCAAAATAATTATCTGACAGTTTAAGAAAATTTCCCCAAAATAATTAAATTTCATTATCGAAGTCAGCGATAGAAAACCGAATTTTTACTCGTATCACTCAGCGTAAAGAGGATACCACTTCGGCAAGTAAATTACCCGGAAAGCACATATTTCAAGCAGGACTTGTTAAGGATTAATGAGAAAGAAGCTCTACGCCGACGTGCTCCAACCCAACAGGTATGTCTGCTCGCTGCGCTCTAGAGATGCCGGATCGCAGTCGACTGCGTCAACGTGGCTTTAGACAAATGCGGCAACTTGAGAATAATATAAATATTATGAAACACACATAATCAAACCATATAATTTACACCTAATGAAATAATTAATTAGTCTCAATTGATCGCAATATTTCAAGCACAGCAAGTTGGCGCTTACACAAAATTCGCAATAAATTTACGCAATATATTAGGTGTAGAGGAAAAATTGGATTCGCCACCATCTCTTGAAAAACTTTATTTTTCGCATCAAAAATTTCCACTGTTCCTCGGATAATTTATAACAGGAGCATTCTGACACATACCCAGTTGCTTCGCTTTGGCATGAAAAATACCCTACAATTGTCTGTCAGTTTTACTCGTACCTACAGAATTCCCGCTAAGTTTTCGCTAAATTTATTTGAATCAAAATCTTGCAAGCCAAGCACACAGAACGAAATCATGGTTACGTCTGGATCTTGAATGAACTGCAACCCAATAAATCCTTTCTACGTTGGATAAATCACAGTGATAAATTCCTTCGGGCACTGTGCAGTTTTGACAAACAGTTATCGGTGGCTTACATTTGATTTGCCTGCAATGCGCCATCGATGATTCATTTCCTATAAATCATTGATGATTCATCGATGACTGCCAGCTATTCTCGCCATCCTCTCGATTTATTGGTGTTTTATTGTCGATTTTTGGCAGATCTGGCCACCCACCGTTATGCCACCTATAATCTACCATCGCCACCTATAATCATCGATGTGCCAACTTAATTTTTTTGGGGTTTCACCTCATCCGAAAACTTTTTTTAAGTGTACACGTAACATAAATTCTTCAACAGTTTATAAATGTTCCAGCCTATTCTCATTTAGGCTATTTTAATACACACCTAACGTCCCATCGGAGCGGCTGATGGGACAGCTCATCCAGGTCACGGCCGCCTATATAAGGCGCAGCTACCGTGACCCGAGCACAGCATTTTCAGTCGTCGAGCGAGCAGCACGGATCACCTCTCAGCAGTTTTGGAACTGAGTGCAAGACGTCAACATCGTTCAACGGTGAGGAATTATGAACGTGTTTCTTTTTTGAGTTCTTATCACTCATATGTGTTGCAAGATTTGTCATTTGTTACTTTTTTTGCTTAATGATGACTTAACGATTGTACGGTAACTCTCTATTAAGAACGAAAGCCATCATGTCATACACATGGCCTCGACTTCCAGGCACTTGTTCTATTTCAGACCGCATTTCGACTTATATCTCGTTCGAGATGATAAAAAGTTGTTTGAATACGTATATCAAAGTTGCCTGCGTGCTGTAAGAATGGGAAAAATTGCGAGGTAGAAACTTATTGCGTGAACAAATCTAATTATTAAATAAGGCACAACCTAACTAATTTTCATTGGCGTAAGAAATAATTCCACTAATTAAGTGCACAAATGGAAATTTAAGATCTGATGCAGTGCAAACAAGAGACAGAGCACCCGTGAGAACCTGCACAGATGAAAAGACTAATCAGTAAAAGCAAGGCAGCCGAGGCTCATGACAAGACAAGAATTGTCAATTTGACTCGATACAAATAAAAGTCTGCAACAAAGGTGTAAAAAACTATCACCAACACTAGGAACCAAGATTTATCGTATTCATTACTCTCTCTTCATGTACAAACATCTATAGGTTAGAATTTCTGATCACGCGTATTATGATCTCAGATAACTGCATACAACGCACAAGCACCAATAAATACATCCATATCACTGATTTTACCGTCTTTGCACCCAATACCTCAGACACACCCAATACCTCAGAAGCACCAAATACCTCGCAAATAAACACTCTCATTACCTGCTTAATGGCATTAAGGCACTTGTACGTAAGCTGTATATAGAGGCGTCAGGGTTCGGTGGTCCCAGCATCACGACCATCGCAAAAATATCATTTAATACGCTCACGCCGAGGATATATCAAAATCGTCTGGTCGTCAAAGACAAATTAACGCGGTCAGACGAACCTGCCCAGAACGCATATGGACTGACAAAACACACGTACAGCTCAGAGAGTGACACACGCTAAAGACAATAGAACAGTAAGACAGTATACAATACCTGTCAATATTGTAACGAACGATTCACTACCTAGCAGAAATCCAATTATGCACTAAGGGCTCAATTTCGCATCCTGCTGTCAATTAATTTTTTTCTCCAATTTTTTCGTAACAGCGTAACTCTCTCACCATTTTTATAACAAACTGTAGCATTCATTAGCACAGCTATTAGGACATTTTACAGTATGAACTCGTATTTAAAAATTAAATTAAAAATAATTCCTAAAGATTCACAATGATTTGCGCAAATAATTAATATTATTTACTTTGCAGGAACAGAAGTGGACTTGAGAGGAAGCAAAGCTTCGGAATGCTGCGGAAAATTCTATTGGTAAGCTTAATGGCGACGACATCGAGGAGAACAAAAACAACGCGATAACAACTACTGATACAATGAGAAGCGCAGCCGTAGAGCACAAATTTTGCGCTTCAATAAGCCTTGGAGCCATCGACCAGCTTCACCATGCATTAACTTTACTCAGCCTCAGAGCTAGAAACCACAGACTACGCTTGAACTCTATAATCCAGACAAGCGCCACACTGCCGAAAGATAATAGCGCCGTAGGTCTTCAGCCAATGCTTAAGCAAGCTCGCTCAAAAGCAGGTAGTTCCTCATCCGGCTGTACCTACGCCGGCCTAACCTCTTTCGGCCTAACCTATTCACGCTGTCCTGGCTCACAACCTTCTTGCAGCCAATGACTGGCTCTACCAGCACACCTGGATCACCTTTCTATTGCAACTTGTGTAGGTTAGGCCTGAAGAGATTAGGCCATTTGCAGTATGGCCATGCTTACCTTTAGCAAGCTTATTTTGTGGCAATGAACATCCGGCGCTGTGGCTTTGAGCATTTGACTTCATAGGCTGTTATGCCCTCTAGCGTTCTTACCTACTTGAAGAAATATGAACTAAGTGTGAAGTTTGGCATAGGTGGCCTTTGGCATTCACCCCATACTAGCCATACAGTGAATCTTGGACGACATTTGAACCATGAGGGATGACAATTGTATTTCACAAAAAATTATACTATCAATCGCTTAGAAATAGAGGAAAAGATTTGTATTTTCCTCGTCAGTGGAAACAACGTTGAATGAATAAATTCAAATGGACTTCAGAATTTTCACTTTATGGGATGAATATACACGTATTATTTCACTAACAAATTATTCTGCAGTCTGTAATGATAACCTTCTTTCAGAAGGCCTATCTGCGAGTTAATCTCAAGTTTTTTTGCAGGTTTTGCTGATGGTCGTGGTGGCGGTCAGGTGAGGATAAGGCAACTGCTCTTAAAGAAACGATGTGTCATGTTGTCCAAATAGGACAACACAGACACAGACATAAATTTCATTAACACAAAGTAGATGATATGAAGGTATTCTGATGATTTATTTTTTCTTACGACACGGATAAAAATCATCGTAGTACGACAGTTTGAATCTATACAAAAATTTCAGAAATTATATATCGCTTGTGCAGAGGCCTACCTCCAATTAGTAGCACCATTTGTGACGGCGTTACTGGAATGAAGTATGATTGTGGCAGTTGTTTGCAGCCCGTCATCTGCAATGGCCCGGCTCCAATACCGCTTCCAGAATGCACTCCAGGCACCGTAAATTCAATTGAAATATATAAGCAATATATTTTATATCGATATATAAGTAACTTTAGTGCTGTTTTCACCTACTAAACGTAATTGATGATCACGAACAACTTGAGTGTTCGTAGTGCATTGACAGTAGTCAACAAGTCGTTTTGAAGATTAATTACTAGTTTTCGTTCGTTTAAAAGTGACTGTAATCAAACCAAAAATAATCTGCTTCCAATTACTTCGTCTTCTAATTCTGTAATACTGTAAACTAAGAATTTAATTACACACTTAATTTCCATGATCATTTGCATGATTAATGAAGTGTTTTTTTTTTGCAAAATAGTAACTACCTAATCAAAGTTTTCATTCAAGATATGGTAAACTTTTTGGCATTTCTTTGCTTATTAATTCTTGACCATCTATCTGCAGGTGTGTGAAGAGGTCTCAACAAATGCAACACAATGTGTTCCAATAGCATCGGCCTCGGTATGCAAATGCGTCAGTGACATTTGCGACACCCACAATCCCATGTACTCTGCCAAGTGCGACGCGGATGGCATCATCACCGACATAGAAGATTGTACAGGGGCCGTGACGAACCCCGATTCTGGAGCCTGTGTGAGCGGCAGCTGCGTTGATTGTGTCGGCTACGGATCGGCTGGACCAGAATATTTTGTGGTTCCACCCAAATGTTCCGTTGGATACCAATGTAATAATGGGGAAGTCATTAACACTCATTCAGTGGTTTGCCCAGAAGGGCAGTACGTTACAAAAGCCGGCATCTGCAGTGACGCGCCCCCCAAACCTTGTGATTCAGCTAACTTATGCTCAGTCAATGAACAATGCGCTGACCTAACGAACTGCAATCAGTACTACTACTGTGGTTCCGATGGGACGCCAAACGGTCACTTCGCGTGCGCTCCAGCCTATTACTTCGACCCGGTCACACACACCTGCTGGCAGGGAGATTCTCGTGTGTGCGATCCATGGACTCAGTGTGACTTTACTACAATGACAACCACCACAACAACCACCACAACAACAACAACAACAACCACAACGACCACCGCTGATCCAGACGCCACAACTACAACAACCACCCAAACTACCACAACAACCAGCCCAATCACCACAACGACCACCACTCCTACCACAACAACCCCCACAACTACCACCACCACAACGACCCCCACAACGACCACCACCACAACGACCACCACCCCAACAACCACAACAACGCCCAACCCAATTTTCCCGCCACCAATTTGCGATGCAAATTCAGTTGGCAATTACCCATACGGATCTTGCAACTCTAAGTACGTATTCTAGAATTTGCAATATGAGCTTAAGACCTAGAGCGTTTAATTTTCCAGAAACTAATCGATGTTTTCATCTCATTCATTAATTTGTTAATAATCAATAAGTACTACCTACTTATGACGCACGCATTTGGACTTATCACTATTCACTTTATTTCTTGATTATTACAAGAGAAATCATTAAGGTTGTGCGTTCCCGTAAAAACTAAATTTAAGAAACAATTTTGCTCTTTTCGGTCAAGCCAAACTACTTTACCAGCAGCTTTCGATTTGAGGCAAAGAAATGGACTAAATTGCGGCGGACTAAGTTGCGACCTTGCCACCGTACAATATCAGACAACTGCTTGTGCATCGAAGTTTTGAATAGTGTTTAGTTCCATTGTTCATTATTGACTACTCTAATGAAAAAAATCCAATATTGTATCCCGATTTCCCGTTTCGGATATCTGTTTTCATTTTTTCACTAACAATGTCTCCCCACATATCGTTAAAATAATGGCATCTGACTGAAAAATAACGTTCATTAAATGTTGTTTTAGCGTTATTGTCTGAAAACTTGGTTGTGCACAGGTACTATGCGTGTCGCCAGGGTAGCGGCAGCAGCTACTATATTGTGGTGATGGAGTGCCCTAGCGGCCAAGTGTTCAGCACCAACGCTAACTACCCCTACTGCGTCGACCCCAGCGCTGAGTACTCTTGTGGCGGCCCAATAAGCACCACCACAACGACCACCACCCCAAAAACCACCACAACGCCCAACCCAATTTTCCCGCCTCCAAGTTGCACTGCAAATTCAGTTGGCAATTACCCATACGGATCATGCAGCTCCAAGTACGTATTCTAGAATTTTAATTTTGAACTTGAGACCTAGAAAATTTAATTTCTCAAAACTAATCAATATTGTTAGTTCATTTAATAATTATGTTCATTTTAATTATCATTGGAAATTGTCACCTTCTTGAAACGCAGACATCAGAACCTAATATTATTCAGATTAAATTTTTAATTTTTAGAAGATAAATATCTAGATTTACATGCTGTGGCAAAGAGTTCTCATAAAAACTACATTTACGCTGAAATTTCGTGTTTTTTTTTTCCAAGCCAAACTATTTGTCCACTAGCTTTCAGTCTGAGGCATGGAAATGGAGTAAGTTGCAAATCATTTTTAGAAGTCTATTTCGTCCGATATCGATGACTTCCCTTCCTCTTGATGACAGCAGTCTGATGTCGCACCACATGAAAATTTTTCATAGCTATTTATGCATTGAAATAATGCATAGTATTCATTCCCGTTACTTATTGTTGCCTTCCCTAATAAAGAATATCGAATATTGTTTACTGATTTCATCTTCACTAATTTTCTCACAATGTATTCTAACCTGACGATAAAGTACCGGCATCATAGGTTAAAATAACGTTGATTTACCGTTGATTTAACGTCATTTGTCAAGAGACTTGGTTGTCCCACAGGTACTGGTCGTGTCGCCAGGGTAGCGACAGCAGCTACGAGCTGGTGGACATGAAGTGCCCCGGTGACTACGTGTTCAGCACCGACCCTAACTACCCATACTGCGTCCACCCCTACCAAGAGGCCACTTGTGGCACTAGAAGTGCTGGCCATTCAGCGCGGAAGTCGGACCCCAAATAGGAACTTGAATGCAATTGATAGTAAATCCCGTCGGTTAATCTTGAAATCAATGCAAAAGTGCCTTTTTGAGTTGAAGAATTGGCAACAATGAAAAAGTGTAATTGATATACTTTGTTCTTCGAGTCATAACTTCAAAAAATGAAGATATTTGCCGAAAAATTAGCAAAATTTGTGTATAGGAGAAGATTAACAATTAAAAAACTTTCTACATAACTCAAAATTTTCAGGCAAGAATTTAAGACCAAAAAAATGCAGAATAAATTCACTGTCTTTTTGCTCAAAAAATTATTCAAGTGAACCATCAAATTTATGTCTAAGGGTGGTTTTATTCACATGAGGCGAAAAAACTACAATTTAAGTTTGAAAATTAATGGAATATAATTCCAGAGGTACAATGCATGAAAGTTGACATAATACTTTTAGTCATAAGTCTACTGTGGTAGAATATGGCGTAACTTTCAGCTTCCGTAACGTTTCAAAAATTTAACGATCATCGTAGTTACAGTATATGGGTTCAAAATTTTTGAAATAATGGTGACATTCAAATTTTATTTTGATGACATCGTTTACAATCAGTCTGCGGCCTTCCTCGAATTATTAGTTTGGTCTGGATAAATGTAAAATTTTGGATCGTGTTATATGAATTATAGATAAGAAAAGTATTAATCTAATTACGTAATTATTTAGCCCTAAAATAAATTAGAAAAATTGTGCAATCTATCTTTATTTTATCAATGGCCGCCCTCAACTATAGAACCACCCATTAAACGAATAATACTATTTTTCTCGACGAAGATAATAACAACTATAATGGAAACTACAACTTAGCTATCGATAAATATAATAACGTTTTTATTAAAATATATTCACGCAAATGCATGTAAATATAATTAACATGAATCCTCGTGGAAAACAAGACGTTTCTGCTTGAAAAATTATGTTGAATTCTGGTTATCGATTTTTATAGTTTTTTAAATTTTCTTATTGTATATCCTCGTTCATTTATACGCAAAGCATTCACGAAATCAAGAATAATAAAAATGTTATTACCTGTGTAATATCGGCAATTTGATTAGGCAATAATTGAACATTTCAATTAACGTTTAAATTTAATTCGATTTATCTGTAGGACACACGGAAATTACTCGGAGGTATTTTCGGAAATCGGATTTTCGGATATCCGGAATAATTCTTCTCAAAAATGAAGTAAGGTGAACACGCAGCTTCTCCTCAACTGGTCAAAATCTTGTTTGTTTGTGATGATTTACATGTTATTATAATACCACTTCCGGTCCTGCTGTGAAATGCGAAGTGTTGTGCTATTTATTATACATATTGCACAGCCTGATTTCGATGTGATGAAGTGGTGATGTCATGAAGTGGTGATGTCATGAAGTGGTGATGTCATGAAGTGGTGATGTCATGAAGTGGTGATGTCATGAAGTGGTGATGTCATGAAGTGGNTGAAGTGGTGATGTCGTGAAGTGGTGATGTCATGAAGTGGTGATGTCATGAAGTGGTGATGTCATGAAGTGGTGATGTCGTGAAGTGGTGTGGCCATGAAGTTTTGAAAAAAACTTTCCCATAGTGCAGAAAAGATGCAATTTAACACGTAATTTATAACCACGTGCCCATTCCCTATTCCCGGCTCCTCATAATAAAGGAATTTATTCGTATTTATTTTGAATAAATGTCAAAAGCAAACAGCAATCAAAACAATTGTTACCCGGAAACGGTGAAAATACGCAATTTTGAAATATTTTAAAATTTCATTCTAAAGTTATCATTGCAAAAAACTTTAATTTAAATACGTGTTAAATCTACGGGTATGACTTATAGCTTTTAACTATCTTTCTGCGATACGGAGTCTTATGCAAATGTACGGTATTGCTCTAAGTGTTCTCAAAGAAATATTTTTTACCTTCATGGAAAATGAATCAATCTTCATCGACTATTTATCAGCCATATATTATTTTATTTCGTGTAATTTCCAAGTATTTTAATCAGTGATCAAGCCATTTATGAGTAGGTCGTCAGAGATTATACGCTACTTCATTTCTATGTAAAATCAAAATTATCTGTTTTCGGAATTCGGAAAACATTTCGGGTAAAAAAATTTTACGAATGTTTTGATGTCCAGTCGAACATTAAGTTTTTTGATGAGTTGAAATCGTCATGATCCAGGAAATATGAAATTATATTTTAGAATTCAAAACGTGAAGTACTTCATGTATAATCATCATTATTTTTATTTGCGTCCGGTGTCATTCACATTTATGTGTCCGGTGTCAATTCACTTGACCTGATAGAGATTGAGGACGAGTCAACATCTGATAGACACGTGATAGATCACGCGATCAAGACCTCAGTAGTGGGCGGAAGGGAAGCTTATAAAAGGACTAGCAAACTTAAGTAAGCCCCCTCAGTAGTTGATAAGCGCTCCGCGATGTAGCGTGTCGGTTGAGTTCTCCGACCTTACGGTCGACGCCGTAGCTTATTCCTTCGTATTGCAACTCTGTATTACCACCTCGCATACAAGATACGTTATCTGGACTTATGTGCCTTACGTATCCCTCACTACCTTAGTCAACGAAGAACCCGATCCTCAGGTAGAGCTTAATATCATAGTTTGTAATTAATTTACAACCTGTGGCATATGCGTGTGATGTTAAGCTATAGCTACTGCAGCTAGGCAATGTAACGCCTACTTAATTAAACGAAATTGTGTTTTGAGGTCATCGCTCTACATTATTATTTCTCATTTGATTTCTATTTGTGCTGTTACTTCTACTTATAGTAATGCAAAAATTAACTTAGACTTCGGTCCTGTGAGTCAATTTATTTCGTTATCAAGCATTTGCACATAAGCCTTTAAATCACTTATGTTCCAATGTTTGAGGCACTGTGTTTCCATTGCATTCAATGTTTGGTTTTTATCTTAATTATGATGCTTCGCCCACTTACTAATATTATAATTATTATTATTAAATTAACATGCGCAACATGTACCGGCATTCTTTTCGCTGTCATTTCCCCAGTCTTAACACAAACTAGTAACTTTAAAAAAACTAGTAACTAGTAAAAACTAGTAACTAGTAACTTTAAACTAGTGACATATTTTTTACCCACAGTATGACATACACAAGGGCACAATCAGGGCAACGTTATTTTGACAAAGTACCAGTTTTTTCTCTGCATGTTACATGCAACATTTCACTCATGCCACATGTTTAATAAAACCAACATCTATTAAGTACTTTATTACTCATGTATGTGTTACATTTACAGCTTATATGCATACCGAACTACTGAGCAACTCCTACAATACGGGTTAAAACAACGCACTTCAAGTGAACTTCTCCCTACAACATATGTAGTAAAACTCCTACAACATGTGTAGTAAAACTCCTACAACATATGTAGTATAACTCCTACAACATACGCAGTAAAACTCCTACAACATACGTAGTAAAAATCTTATAACATACGCAGTAAAACTCCTACAACATACGTAGTAAAAATCTTATAACATACGTAGTAAAACTCCTACAACATACGTAGTAAAAATCTTATAACATACGCAGTAAAACTCCTACAACATACGTAGTAAAACTCTTACAACATATGTAGTAAAACTCCTACAACATATGTAGTAAAACTCCTACAACATATGTAATAAAACTCCTACAACATATGTAGTAAAACTCCTACAACATACGTAGTAAAACTCTTACAACATATGTAGTAAAACTCTTACAACATATGTAGTAAAACTCCTACAACATAAGTAGTAAAACTCCTTCAACATATGTAGTAAAACTCCTACAACATACGCAGTAAAACTCTTACAACATACGTAGTAAAACTCTTACAACATATGTAGTAAAACTCCTATAACATATGTAGTAAAAATCTTACAACATAAGTTGTAACTCGGCTTGCCCGCTCAGTTGACGGTGGACGGAGCATGACCACGATCGGGACTACCTATAAAGTTACATTTCATCATCAGTTAATAATAACCAAATGACATTCCTCTGCCACAAATATTCCTCTACCTCAAATAGCATTCCCCTACCATAATACCTTCGAAATGGATTTTGCGGCCTAAACGAAAATATTAAAAATTCAAATTTTAATACAGATTTTCCCGAAAAAATTTAAGTTTCAAAAAAATGTGTCACGAATAATTAAACCAATTATTTTGCTTATATTGCTCATATTGTATCTATTATCTATTGTAGTTATTATATATTTACCATCGCTTGGCAATATTTATCGTGTTACTATATTATTAATGTGTTTGCAGATGACCTATGGCTATAATCTATAACCCCGAATCTATAGTGAAATATCTTATTACGAAATGCTCATGTACATAGCCTATAAGGATCTATACGCACACAACCTATATCGAATGTATATGCACATAACCTATACATGAAAAGTGTATAACCTATAAGAATGTATAGACCCTACAACTAGACTGTAAATCTAACAATGGCATCGTCAGAATGTATATTATTATGGTAAATAGAAGACATAGAACTTATTCGTTCGGTACTAACAATAGATAAACTTCGTAGTTACATATATATAAAACTTATTCATAGAAAAACTAATCATTTACACTTGCCATTTAAACTTACATTCAAGTTTTATTCAAATTTTAAAATTTGCTCATATTTATGCGAATTATATTACATTTTTGATTAAAGTTTTGGCAATGATAAATAATATCGATCTACAAACTTTTTTTTTAACTTGAAAAGTTATCGCGAAATAAAAAAGTTATTCATATTAAAAAATAATTTTGTGATAATATTAATTTAAAAAGAATTACTTCACTAAACTGTTCATCCCAGATATATATGAGGATTTTTCTGAATTTCACTAATAGAATGTAAAATTAGGTAATTTGAGGCAAAAATATAACATCAGGTGGTATATTAATAACCAATTCGTGTTTTATCATTTCAAATGATCAACAAAAGCAGCCACGTGATTGGCTAACCGCTCGGCCAATCCCCTGATTTAAATTTGGCTGAATTAATCAATTTGTTTTAATGTCTTTAGGGCGACTTTTAGGGCCTTTAGGGGACGGGTTAAATGGGGACTTTAAGGGTTATAACCTGGCGTCATAAGTAGTAGAAGTTTAATATTGCATTTTAACGCTTATTTACGTCAATATTCACTCTTCACGCCTTTGTAGGTTAAGCTAACGGAATAGAACGTTCAACGTCTATGACGTCATAAGTTTACGTTCCTACGTTACATTGTTTTAAACATTCCCAGACGCTGTGAATATATGTCCGCGACGTTAAATTTGGTACGTCTAATCATATAATAGGTTTTTTAACGATATCCAGCATTCGACGTCTTAAGACCCCGACGTTGCTCGTACGTCGGGAGCTCAGCGGTAGACGGAGGGACGTACGGTGGACTCTGAGACGTCGCTGAAGCTGTCAACGTCCTGAAGACGTACGGGGTGCGTGAGACGCAGGGACGTTTACATGGGAAATGAGGTTTCTAAATGCATAATGGTTTTGCAACATTATGGTTTTTCACCATAATTGATTTTCAACATAATGGTTTTGCAACATTACATTATTACATGTAATGTTGTAATGCAATGTTATTACATGTAATGTATATTACATGTAATGTTGCATTAATAATGTAATACATTACATTATTTTGGTTTTTCAACGACTTCATATTACTGCAGCGTTACAATAGATAATTATTTCAAAATAAAATATATATTAAATATAGATTGTGAATTTGTATAAATTAGAAGCCAAATTAAGATGACTTCATTTCAACATGATTTGAAATGAAATAATTAATATAAAAGGAAACTGTAAAAATTTCCCAAAAGAAATTTCTATGGAAAAGAGTCGACAATTACTATGATATTACTAGGCCCATAACAATGAATGAATATTTTTGTGTTTATAATAAACAATGAGTCTTTAAAGTGGGGGTAAAGGGAAGGGGGCAGACAGGCAGTAGGGGGCAGACAGGCAGTAGGGGGCAGACAGGCAGTAGGGGGCAGACACTGAGTACCTGGGATGGTCTGTAGAGCTCGTGGGGAGGGAAGACTAAGGTAGACCCCCCGTCCCGCTCTGCCATGGTTTGGCCCCCCTGGAAATAAAAGTCTGTTAATAATATTCCCTAAATGAATAAAAAATACGCTTAAATGAACTACACTAATGAATTATTAATTAATTAATTATTAATTATAAGCTAGTAAACTTCGTTGGAACTGGTCGAATAAATACACGGATGAGCACTGTTTAATGCAAATTATTGTGAAGTATGTAATTCATTATACTGGTAAAAATTTTTATTTGTTCTATCATGGAGTTATTTGTAGGATTTTGTGAAGCTATAGTGCCGTGCGTGCAGTGCATGTGTCGCTGTGTACGTCGCTAGGTACATCACTGTCAGATACTGAAAAACATAATTACATCATCTCTCTCAGCTGCTACATTGATTGTGTACGTCACCATCAGTGACATCACACTTGCGGTTATCTACCGTGCCTTCAGCACCGATAGTCAGTCTCGTATATAGTCGATAGTCAGTCAGTCTTCAGCACCAATAGTCAGTCTCGTATATAGTCGATAGTCAGTCAGTCTTCAGCACCAATAGTCAGTCTCGTATATAGTCGATAGTCAGTCAGTCTTTAGCACCGATAGTCAGTCTCGTATATAGTCGATAGTCAGTCAGTCTTCATCACCGATAGCCAGTCTCGCATATAGTCGATAGTCAGTCAGTCTTTAGCACCGATAGTCAGTCTCGTATATAGTCGATAGTCAGTCAGTCTTTAGCACCGATAGTCAGTCTCGTATATAGTCGATAGTCAGTCAGTCTTTAGCACCGATAGTCAGTCTCGCATATAGTCGATAGTCAGTCAGTCTTCATCACCGATACAGTCGAATATAGTGAAAAAAATACTACCCAGGCGCTCTTGCAACACGTTTGCTGGCTGGAGCAAAAGCCTAGCCAATATAGTCACCCCGATTTGTCACGTGTTCCGTAATATAGATATAGTATCCTTAGCTCACTCCGTCTTTCAGTTTCCTTGACTGTGGACAATCTCAAGTTAAGACTGTGCACAATCTCAAGTCAAGACTGTGGACATTCTCAAGTCAAGACTGTGGACAATCTTCAGTCTTGACTGTCTAAGACCACTTCAAAGAACTCTGACCCGTTGAACTAATACCTTCAGTTAGCAGTCGTAATAGACGAGCTTATATCACAACGTATGTCACACTACGGACGTCACTATGTAATGTACATAGCACAACGTACATCACTATGTACGTCACTTTATACGTCACCTGAGATGACAGGGGCCTGGAGATGCAACGTACGGACGGACGTACGGTCGTCTCGTCGCAGGAACGTAAGGCGCTCACGGTTCTGAGAGGACGTCATTTACGTCAAATATTTACAGGCAGACGTTAGTGCGTCTTGTGTAGAGTGAGTGCTTCTTTACACGTCGATATAGACGTTATACAGTGTCTAGACCGAGCTTATGTCGTTACAACAACATTCAAACAACGTCAAATCAACGTTAAAACAAGGATAAATTAATGTTACGTTACAACGTTAAATCAATCAATCAATAACGTTAAAACAATGTTAAATCAACGTGAAAACGACGTAAAAACAAAGTTAAATCAACGTTAATCCAATGTTAAATCAATTTTAAAACAACGATAAATCAAAGTTAAATCAACGTTAAAACTTTCTTATATCAACGATAAAACGAATTAAAACTTCGTTAAAACAACGTTAAATCAACGTTAGAACCACGTTAAAACAACGTTAAAACAACGTTAAAACAACTATATATGAACGTTAAATCAATGTTATTTCAACGTCATTTGCCTGGATGTTTTAAAACTACAGTGGGGGTGCATATAACAAATAACGAGGTAATTAACGTCGGTAATAAGGTAGTCGCTTATAACGTACTGACGTATCGTACAAGCACAACACAACGAAAAACGTAATAGTGCTAAACGACAAAATAAGTGCACAGCATATGCCGGGTATCACTGAGAGAAATAGGTGGGTCTGGATGACCCACTTTGACGAGTCAACCGCGTCCGAATATCAATGCACTTTTTCGACTCACTTGCCTCATTTTGGTCATCCTGACCCATTAAATTACAGGCATGACTCACTTGTGACGTCAAATCACTTATGACGCCACCCGTAGCATGGATACGTAGTTAGTTAGCATCTGTGCATCGGAGCGATTTAACGCCACAAATGAGTCATGCTTGAAACTTAAAGGGCCAGTAATAGGACTATTTGACCCAAAAAGGGGGCAAGTGAATCAAAAAAGTGCATGAATTTTTGGACGCGGTTGACTCATCAAAGTGGGTCATCCAGACTCACCCATTTCTCTCAGTGTAGGTGAGGTGTTACACAGTGTATGGTTACGTCACAATACAGAGACGAAAAATGTATTTTTATACAGTGAGATCAGCTTTGTTTTACGCCTCCTTTAAGTACACTAATTTAAAGTTATGCATTCAAATGCAATGTGCAATTTTGAGTTTAATATTCATATATAAAATCTTATATAAAAATGGGATATTGTATCAATAATTCAATATGCAATATAAAAAATACACTATAGAAATATGATGCTCAAAGAACAATAGATTGAGATTCTTTCAAGTTTCTCTCAAGGTCTATAGTCTTTATTTTCAATATAAAAGTAATCCAGAGCGACTAAAAATTAGGAAATATTAGCGGAAAGTATCCTTCACAGGATAATGATCGAAACCTTCAGAAGTTGTAATTACAGTTCGATGAAAATTATATTGTTCAAGTTTATTGAGCATGAATATTTGATCGGAAACGATTCTGCACAAAATTCCACGAAAGAATTTACAACTTCTTTTAAATTTTTAAAGTTCAAAAATCTAAAGATGATATGAGTGACACTGATATGTGCGAATACTGACAATTTTGTGTGTGAAATTGCAGATATTTGCGTGTTTGAACATTTGCGTGTGCAAGTCAGGTACTTTTTTGGTGCCTAAAAACTTTTGCATGTCCATAGTGTTAGAAGTGAGTGAGACAAAGTGCCATTGTTATTTCTGTGAGTGTAATTGGTTATTTTGAGTGTAAATTTATTCATATTGAGTGCAATAGGTTATTTTGAGTGTAAATTTATTCATATTGAGTGCAATAGGTTATTTTGAGTGTAATTTTATTCATATTGAGTGTAATAGGTTATTTTGAGTGTAATTTTATTCATATTGAGTGTAATAGGTTATTTTGAGTGTAATTTTATTTATATTGAGAGTAATAGGTAATTTTTATTGTAAATTTATTCATATTGAGTGTAATAGGTTATTTTGAGTGTAAATTTATTCATATTGAGTGTAATAGGTTATTTTGAGTGTAAATTTATTCATATTGAGTGTAATAGGTTATTTACAACTGTGAGATTAAAAATAACCTAATTAACCTTCAATAACTGCACTCACCTCTCCTGATGGTACCTGTAGGAGTTGGAACTTGGTGGTTGGTGACGCTGGTTGTTGTTATACGCGCTCGATCTGTTATACGAACAACATAATGTAAAAAATTAATTTCTGGCAAATTTAGACGTAATTTCTAATGTAAAAAGATAATTTCTAGCAAATTTAGACGTAATTTCTAATGTAAAAAGATAATTTCTAGCAAATTCGTAATTTCTAATGTAAAAAAAATTAGCAAATTTGACCTAATTTCTAATGTAACCAAATTAATTTTCAGCAAATTTAAACATAATTTCTAATGTAAAAAGATTTATTTCCAGCAAATTAACACATAATTTTTAATGAAAAAACAAATAATAATTTTTAGCAAATTTAGACATAATTTCTAATATAAAAACGTAATTTCTAGCAAATATAGACATAGTTTCATTACTTTTTCGACAGAAAGTTCGTTTGTTTTACAATAAAATCATTGTACAGATCAATTATTAATATGGCACCGATTTATAATAACTATAATTATTATAATAGAATGGCTACAGCCATTAATGAATGGACACGAAAAATATCTAATAAAATATCTAATATAAAATATTATATAATAATAAAATAGTCATAGGTCAATTGATACGCGAGTAATATTAATTGGCTGTCATAATTACGATCATTGATTATAATTACTATCATAGGTTAATGAATTGTATTTCTAATATTTGTACCATTTAATGCTAGAATTGCATAGCATGAATTATAAAATACAAAAATAATGACTATATATAAATTGCGTTATTTAGCCTATACTGATAACACTGTAGAACTATGTTGCTGTATAATATATCCCGTTGCTAAGAACATTGATCTCATAAACCCCACGCAATTAAATCCTGAACAAAACTTCGCGTCCGATACCTTGGGCCCATTCCCAGTCAATTGGGCCCAGTCCCGGTCTCTTGGGGCCATTCCCAGTCAATTGGGCCCAGTGCCGATCCCTTGGCCCAGTCCCGGTCTCTTGGCCCTGTCCCGGTCCCTTGGGGCCATTCCTAGTCAATTTAGTCCAGTCCCGATCTCTTGGCCCAGTCCCGGTCTCTTGGACCCAGTCCCGGTCACTTGGACCCAGTCCCGGTCCCTTGGGGCCATTCCTAGTCAATTTAGTCCAGTCCCGATCCCTTGGCCCAGTCCCGGTCTCTTGGGGCCATTCCTAGTCAATTTAGTCCAGTCCCGATCTCTTGGCCCAGTCCCGGTCTCTTGGACCCAGTCCCGGTCTCTTGGACCCAGTCCCGGTCTCTTGGACCAGTCCCGGCCTCTTGGACCAGTCCCGGTCTCTTGAAATCGTAAGCAATCGTAACAAATCGTAACCAATCGTAACAAATCCTAAGCAATCGTAACAAATCGTAAGCAATCGTAAGCAATCGTAACAAATCGTAACCAATCGTAACCAATCGTAACCAATCGTAACAAATCGTAAGAAATCGTAACAATCGTAACAAATCGTAACCAATCGTAACAAATCGTAACCAGTCGTAACAAATCGTAACCAATCGTAACCAATCGTAACCAATCGTAACCAATCGTAACAAATCGTAAGCAATCGTAAGCAAGTTGGGGGCACCCACCACGCGGGGGCTGAGGGCGTGTGGGGGGCGATCTCCCTCCTCTAGCTCGGCCGCCGCGTTCACGTGACCAGCCTAGGGGAGATTAAGTGTACCCTTAAATCTAGTCAATTCTCCTTAAATAAATACTAACATATTATTTTTATTGATCAATATAACCAAATACATTTTTCACGGTATATTGATACCAATATACTTTTTTGCGCATATATGAGCACATTTTACGCACGGTGTACAGGGTGCTGGCGCGTGCATCGCTAGAGTCGCTCGAGGCGTCGTGCGTGAACGCGCGGCGGTCCAGCGTGGACGCGCCCAGCGATGACGTCAGGAGCTGAGGGTAGAGTGAGGGTAGAGTGAGGGTAGAGTGAGGGTAGAGTGAGGGTAGAGTGAGGGTAGAGTGAGGGTAGAGTGAGGGTAGAAGTCCCGGTCTCTTGGACCCAGTCCCGGTCTCTTGGACCAGTCCCGGTCTCTTGGACCAGTCCCGGTCACTTGGACCAGTCCCGGTCTCTTGGACCTAGTCCCGGTCTCTTGGACCTAGTCCCGGTCTCTTGGGCCCAGTCTCGGTCCCTTGGTCCCAGTCCCGGCCCCTTGGCCCAGTCTCGGTCCCTTGGCCTAATCCCTGTCCCTTGGCCCAGACTCGGTCCCTTGGCCCTGTCCCGGTCCCTTGGACCCAGTCCCAGTACCTGGGGCCTCGAGGATGTCGAGCAGCGCCGCTTGGGGCACGACAGGGTCAGCGGGAACATCCTGGGCGCTGGCCCGCTTCTGGGTGGGGCCTTTGACCCGCGGGATCAGCAACTAAAAACAGTAAAGTTCAGAGTTTTATGAGCCACCTACATGTATGCTTAATAAATTTAAATACAAAGTATGTATTATGTAATCTTTTGTACAAAAACCTCGCAATATTTATAATACATATACGTATACTTCATATATTGTATAGGCAGTATATGTAATAACCATTCACTTCATATATACTCCATGGACTACATAAATATAATAATATGCAAGGCATCTTAACCGATCGTAACAAATCGTAATCAATCGTAACAAATCGTAATCAATCGTAACAAATCGTGACCAATCGTAATCAATCGTAACCAATCGTAACAAATCGTAAGCAATCGTAACCAATCGTGACAAATCGTAATAAATCGTAACCAATCGTAACCAATCGTAACAAATCGTAAGAAATCGTAACAATCGTAACAAATCGTAAGCAATCGTAACAAATCGTAACCAATCGTAACAAATCCTAAGCAATCGTAACAAATCGTAAGCAATCGTAAGCAATCGTAACAAATCGTAACCAATCGTAACCAATCGTAACCAATCGTAACAAATCGTAAGAAATCGTAACAATCGTAACAAATCGTAACCAATCGTAACAAATCGTAACCAATCGTAACAAATCGTAAGCAATCGTAACAAATCGTAACCAATCGTAACCAATCGTAACCAATCGTAACAAATCGTAAGAAATCGTAACAATCGTAACAAATCGTAACCAATCGTAACAAATCGTAACCAGTCGTAACAAATCGTAACCAATCGTAACCAATCGTAACCAATCGTAACCAATCGTAACAAATCGTAAGCAATCGTAAGCAAGTTGGGGGCACCCACCACGCGGGGGCTGAGGGCGTGTGGGGGGCGATCTCCCTCCTCTAGCTCGGCCGCCGCGTTCACGTGACCAGCCTAGGGGAGATTAAGTGTACCCTTAAATCTAGTCAATTCTCCTTAAATAAATACTAACATATTATTTTTATTGATCAATATAACCAAATACATTTTTCACGGTATATTGATACCAATATACTTTTTTGCGCATATATGAGCACATTTTACGCACGGTGTACAGGGTGCTGGCGCGTGCATCGCTAGAGTCGCTCGAGGCGTCGTGCGTGAACGCGCGGCGGTCCAGCGTGGACGCGCCCAGCGATGACGTCAGGAGCTGAGGGTAGAGTGAGGGTAGAGTGAGGGTAGATTGAGGGTAGAGTGAGGGTAGAGTGAGGGTAGAGTGAGGGTAGAGTGAGGGTAGAGCACGGGTAACGTGCGGGTAACGTGAGGGTAGAGTGAGGGTAGAGTGAGGGCAGAGTGAGGGTAGAGTGAGGGTAGAGTGAGGGTAACGTGAGGGTAGAGTGAGGGTAGAGTGAGGTTAGAATGAGAGTAGAGTGAGGGTAAAGTGAGAGTAGAGTGGGGGGTAGAGTGAGAGTAGATTGAGAGTAGAGTTAGGGTATTGTGAAGGTAAAGTGAGGGTAGAGTGAGTTTGGAGCGAGGGTAGAGTAAGGGTAGAGTGTTGCTCATTTATAATACATGCTAAAACGCAAGCCATTGACGCGAACTACATGACTAAAGTTCTCACTATTATCAATTATCAGAAAAATGAACAAATAAAAAAATTATTATCAAAACAAATTGATTTTTTATACCTGGTTTGCTGCCGCCTCTCGTCTGTTCCTTCGTCTGCTGAGGCTGCAGAAGCAGCAACACAGCAGCAGCAGCAGCACCGCAGCAGCAGCACAGCTCACCACAGCAACCAGCAGCACTGCAAACAACCAAAGTTAATGACCATAAGGAACAACCGTAAAAACCCGTAATAATAACGCTGTGTAAACTGACAAAGTAACCAAAGTTTTCCCGTTAATATCATACCACCAGGTCCCTACAACACACCCACCAGACGTATGATGTTGAATCAACGACGCATATTAAACGTTATTTCAACGTTGTTGGCGTTGAAGGAAATAATTAGTTAATGTAGATGAAAATCATGAGGGAAGAGGAGATGACATGGTTGAACTAAGTATTCGTCATGGTAAAAAAATCCAACCAGGCACATATGATGACACTGACGTCCCGTTGATTGGAATGGAGTAGAATATCGTAAATAAAACAGCTTGTGGCAACACAATAAGAGTTGCCAGAACGACTTCTTTTACTACTTGAGAAGAAACTGTTATGCACAGCATAACGTAGTTATGTCGGCGCTGAAGAATAGGCCTGATGTGGCCTGTCGCCGATTCTTGTACTTTTCGTGACTTGTTCACCGAAGATCTAAAATCGTGTTATTTGACCGGATTTTTTTAGGACTGACGATAGTTTGAAATAGCTACTAGACTTCCACCAGGTTCGACATGGTGCTAGGCATTTCAAGTCTGAACATATATTTCTCCATAGCTTTATCTATTCTGTTCTTGAACGCGTTCATACTCGGAGCGCCAACGATGTAATCAGGGAGGCTGTTCCACATGTCGGTGACTCGAAGCGAGAAGAAATGTTGTCGCGTGGATGAGTATGTGAACCAGGGCTGACACTCACCCCTGAGGTTGATGCTGCATGTGGCACCTCTGAACCAGGGCTGACACTCACCCCTGAGGTTGATGCTGCATGTGGCACCGCTGAACCAGGGCTGACACTCGCACGTCAGCTCGCCGCCGTCATCACGCTGACACTCGCCGCGGTAGCTGCAGTGAGCGCACTGCTGCGTGCGCTCTGCGGAGGGCGGGCGGTAATCAGCAACTAATCAGTCAAGTAATTATACAAGTAATCAGTGAAGTAATCAGTCAATTAATCAGTGAAGTAATCAAATAATTATATATTAATAATATTTATTAAAAATTACATCACATTTATTTCTAATTTTACGCAATATATGCCTGATTTATCCTTGTTAACACTACAAAAAGTATGTAAATCTGATTATTTTTATTATTATAAATAAATATTTCCGAAGATATGCCCGGTTAATTTCAGTATTATATATAAATATTACTTAGTAAAAAGTCAGACTACTTTCCTCGCTGAAACCACGAAATGTCCACCTGGTTATTTTCATTATTATTCTTTAATATCACATAACAAAAGCCTAATTATTTTATGGCTGGTTTTGTACGGACGGACTTGGCGGCCGAAATTGGCTTAATTTTAGGGCCCATACGACTTTTGGTTTTCGTCAGTAATAATTTTAATTTGTGCCAGAAATTAACCGAAGTTAACACCAAAATTTATCTGGAGACAAACATTTAATTTACTTCGGGATAAGAACTTGAATTTGATTTAGGTGAAGCTCACAAACTTTTTATGGACGTGGTATCTGAATTAAATTAAATTTTGAGTTGACGTAGAAGTTCAGTCGATTATTTTTAACATTTCTCGATTGATTTTGTTTTACCTCGAATACAATTTCTGAACACGAAAAATTAGGTTGTCATGGAAAATTAATCTGGAATTGAGCGGACACATTGGCGTCCACAAAAGAGTCAGAACTGTCACATCTTAACTCACCGACACATCTTGACTCACCGACACACTGGCGTCCCGGCGCGTCCCCCACGTCCACAAATGAGTCAGAACAGACACACGTGAAGCCGCCCGCCATGTTGACGCACAGGGCGTTGACGTGGCAGTCGTGGTCGCCGCCCGCGCACTCGTCGTAGTCCGTGGACGCGAGCACCGCAGCGTAGGGGCTGGCGTGCACCGCGGTGCCACCTGGGGCGTGGGCGAAATATTCATGTATTGAAAAATATTAAATATTCAAATATCTAAAAAACTATTCGAAATATTCAAATATGTAAAAAAATCGAAATGTTCAAATATTAAATATTCAAATATTTAAAATATGTATTCGAAATATTCATATATGTAAAAAAAATTTTCGAAATATTCATATATTGTAAAAAAATATTTGAAATATTCAAATATTCAAATATTTTTAAAAAATATTCGAAATATTAAATGTTCAGTGTCATGGGGGGAGGAATGTTCAGTGTCATGGGGTTAATAAATGGGGAATATCGGGGAGCGGAAAACGATTTCATTCACGTACAATTTTGTGACACGGAAAAGAATTTATCCACGGAAAAATAATGTCAATATTTCCGGCGTCACCACCGTCTGTTGCAGCACATTGTCAGCACCTCCTGCTGGGGGCGGGATGGACTTGATGAAAGCGTAGGGGTCAGAAAAGGTAGTTGATGACTTTATTTCTATGTTGATCTAGGTTTGTATATATTAGGGGAAAGTAGATGATAATTTAGGACGATTGTTAAGTGACAAGAGAAGGTAATTTTGATAACCTACTGCAATGTAAAATAACCCTATACCTGGGCTCTGGGATTGGACGCTTCCCCCCCTCTCCATTCGGTGCAAATGCTTTATTAACTGATGAGAAATTTTGTAATAAAATTTAAATAGGCTTAAATAGCCTCCGGTTCAGGAGTCGGGTTCTAGTCACTTAAGTTGCTTTTGAAATAAAATTTTGACTGTGGGACCAATCATTTTGTCGATTTGATGAATTAAAAAACAGTTGTGCTTCAAAGAAGCCCAGATGAATTAGCGTTTGCAATAATAAGATGATTTTAAGACGAAAGTTTATGCACTAAATAATACATGATATTTATTTATTTATTCAATTATCTCACCTAAGGAGTAGTTGGAGCGCTTGAGTGACGCCGTGAGCGCCCGTTTGAGTGCCAGGGGCTCCAGGACCTTGAGGGCAGCACCCACTCCCCCAGCCGTCATCACCTCCTCACCACCCACATCCACCTTCATCTCCGCCACCACTCCTCCATCCTGGCAACCAGAAGCAGCGATGTATATCCCAGTCAATATTTAGATTCACCCCAGCTTCTGATTACTGGAAGCTTCCCAAATTATATAAAATCTACCCACTCGACCCTCGCAGACACTGGGATAGTGGCTGTAAGTAAAAAGACCTGTGGTGGATCTAGTAAGATTAGGCATAGGTAGCAATATATACATATATAATCCGAATCAAAATTTAGAGTCGTTTCAACCTCTGATTACTAGAATCAGTTGCTGCCACGCCTTAACCATAGGTAGCACTGTATAATTATTCCCAATAGAAATTTAGAGTCGTCTCAGCATCTGATTACTCAAATCAGAAGCTGACACGCCTCCGAATTTCGCTCGGGTAGCAGTAAAACGATGCTTCGCTTTAACGAACCAATTCGTCTGGAGCGAGGGGTCGTCGAGCGATAAAAGACAAGTGGTCATAAGCAAAGAACATTCGCTTGCGTAGATCCTTCATGTATAAAAATTCTCCTTTTAAAATCAAAATGCAATTTTGTTGAGGTTCTAGGAGATATTGAAAAATGCATAAGCAGTTTTTAAATTGATTTAGAACCTTTTGTATGAGTAAAATGAAGCATTTGTTTGGGTAAAATAAATCTTTTGTATATGGGTAAAATGAACCTTTTTTTGGGTAAAATACATTTTTTGTATGGGTAAAATGAACCTTTTTTTTTGGGTAAAATGAGCCTTTTGTATGGTTAAATGAATCAATCCTTAGTAAGGGTAATATGAACCATTTCTATAGGTGAAACGAACCTTTTGCATAGGTAAAACGAACCATTTCTATAGGTAAAATGAACCATTTGTAAGGGCAAAATGAACCATTCGAGTGAGTAAAATCTAGACCACTGACCACGAGCCGTGCGTGGACAGGCAGCGTTGCGTACTTCACTGGAGTAAACTTGAGCACTGTGACTTGGTTGACATGGTTGGATACGTTGGAACTGAGGAACGCTTTGTTGATGCCGTGGGTGGTGATCTGGACGAGATCCTGGGTCACGGGGTGGGTCAGGTTATGCAGGATCGGGTCAAACACAAGTTGATCTTCACTGATGCTGTCCAGCAGCACGCTCATCTTGTACGCTATCGATGCTGGAGGTAGAAACGAATTTACATGGTACAAAAAATTTACAGGTACAAAAAAAATAAATGAGGAGATTCTTGAAATAATAAGGTTTTTCTTTATGGTAGACATTTAGCTGAATAGACTATACCAACAACGATGCATTTTAATTTTAAATTTTAAAGTATTGATCTCATTCAGAATTCTACGGCATTGACAGAGATTAATTTTTTACTGCTCTGCTATTAGCAGTGTCAAAAATTAAAATTTTATTTAGTTGAATACTATGAAAGTTAATAAAAAATAAGTATTGCTACAATTTTAATGAATTAACTCACGGGTGCAAGGGTTAAGAGAGTTCGAGCGACTGTATCCAGGCCTGCAGAGACACCCGTAAGTTTCGTTTGTTGACTTCTTGCAGACCTCATTCTTGACGTCCGAACATCTGGGCTTGCACTCTGAAACTGGCATCGCCGGTACACCAACAGAAACCTGCTGGTCTGGGCTGGAACTGTCCACAAATCTGCTGATTTCGTTCTCTTCTGCCAAGCTCAAGCTTGCTTCTTTGTGGTTTTCAACTTCCGGCGTATCGTGTTCTACGAATGAAGGAACATCGTTAGCATCAGTTGTCGGTGAGTGATTCTTTTCAGCCATCATCGCATCGGAAGATTCCGAAGTCGGTTCAAAGTCCGGAATGGAATCTGTTGTGGTTGAAACCGCGGCCAAAGAACTGAGTCTCGTTGAAGTCATCTCCGAGGAATCCGAAGTGACCGTTACTGTGTTAACCTCAGTTGAAGTGCCGACTACCGTTGATACGATAGTCACAGGAGGTAAAGTTTTTTCGATGATTTCTGTGAACGTACTACGGACCCCTTCGACGGTTCTCACATCAGTAACCGTATGTGTGACTGTTTTGACCATCGTATTAACTCTTGAAATCAGTTTTGTTACCTCACCGTCTCTCCCAGAAATGATGGATGTCATTTTTCCGCCAAGCGGAGTATTTGTGGCTAAAGGTCGGCTAAATAATGTTCCAAATATGGTGGTAGCACCCGACATTACGGTTGAAACCCCATCAACTACAGTGGTCCTTTTGTTGTCCACAACCAAGGGACCATCATCAGATAGATCCAATGGTGATCCCACACCAACGGTGGAGTGTAGAAGAATCTCAGGTGTCATCAGGAATTGCGAACTTTTGTCCAATGCGATAGCCTCAATCACTTTAGTGGAAAATAGAGAGCCCTTCGGTTTCCCATTAGCGCGAGTGTCTATAAAAACTTTTCCATCAGCAATTGGTCTGGTGTTGGTCGGAATGGCATTATGGAATCGTCTACTAGGAGAACTATCAATTCTGAAGTTTATCTCTGCTGGCAATTCAGTTGTGGCAAAAGGAACGAAATTTGCATCTGGTAACACTGGCTGAAGGACTCGGTTGCTCTCAGCAAACTCTTCAAAGCTTGGTTCAATTAACTGAAATTCTCCACCCGGAGGTGCGGGCAGACCCGGTGGTGGAAGAGGTTTGGGCAAACCGTCACCAAATAGAATCGTTTCAACTCCAGATATGACTGAAACATGGGTTGGTATCAAACCAGTTGTAAAGATTGCAGTAAATCCACGTTCAGTTGTAGAAGGCGGCTTGAAACCACCCATTTGCTGGAAATGGAAGTCATTCTCTGGACTATTGAAGTTAATTACGCCACCCCTTGAACTTCCACCCACCTCATTGATAGGTCTTGGGAAGGGTATAGCTGAAGCTTGATGAGGATTGCGACCATCTTGTCCATCAAATCTGTTGAGAGGGATAAAGCCTTGTGTGGGTTGTACTGACTGCCTCCTCAAACTACTCATGGACGCAGCGACTCCCCCTACTGGGATGAAATGAGGCTCTTGCATGTGTATCAGAGTATTCCTAGGAAGATCTAACACCTCTCCACCTTCATCACTTTTGGCAATCGCGGCGACGCCTGCGGCAGGTAGGTTGTTCTTTATAATACCAGCCATTGCAGAGAGGACAGGTACCATCAACCCAAAGGCAGCACCGCTTCCAATTGAAATACCCGTGACATCGTCATTGTTTGAATTTGTTTCAGCTACTGCAACATTAGCATCATTCGAGGGAACTGGAACAGCAATGTTTACCTGCGATGGGGTGTTCAGTCGGAGCACTGAAGGAACTGCTGGCAAAACGGTCCGTTGTCCATCTCGTTCGACCACTGCCACAGTTCCTCCGGCATCAACAGTACTTGATGCACCGTCAACTCCTCGGAGGACAGTGGGTACACTCAAAACTGAAGTGCTAATGAGATTGTGAGAGGACAAGTCGTCAATTTCACCGGAAGATGATTGCTGTACCGTTGCTAAAGTCGTAGAATCACTGACTATTTTTGTGCTAGATTCATTTTCACTGTCCAATAGAGCTGTGGCCTCCGGGGCAATCGAAGTATCTGAAGATTCGTGTAGCGAGAACAATTCAGAGGGATCCAGCTGAACAACGGAAGCCCCGGGGGAGCGTTGCGATGTCACAATGGAGGCTTTTAAAGCAGATAACTGAGACGGACTAAGCCCGGCAGTGCTGGTTGGTTTTATGCTCGACCTCGAACCCGACTGAGATGGTCTTCCTTGCCCTCCCCGAGTTGAAGTGCGGCCAGGCTTTCCAGCTGTTTCTTTTGGGAATGCAGAAATAGAAGAATCCAACGACGGTGAAATTGAAGGACGCTGGGCACCAGATGAGCTAAGCAAGGCAGTGGTGATGGAAGTCGGAACGATTGTTCCAGTAGAATCCTCCTCGACATCAGCGGTATCAACCAAAGCTGTAGATTTCACAATCAAGGACTGGGGTACTTCGGTAGTAGTGATGATACTGGATAGTACTTTCGTTTTCGTGACTTCTCGGGAATTAACTGACCCATCAGCAAGGGTCGTGTAATGCGTGTACGTTGCAAAAAATGTTCTTAGCTGCTTAAAAACATCATTTCCGAGGGGCATGTACACCTCCGTTCGAGGAACGTCCTCAATTATCTTTGTTGGCATCATGACCTCACCACCGCCTAGACCTATCAAGTTAGAAGCTGGTATGGTTTCAGTGACGATTCTGCTCTGCACAGTAACACTTGAAGTAGTCACAGTGGATCCACCCTCTAAGAGGGTTGTTAAGTGGGTGGAAGTAGTAAAGAATGTTCTGGTTGCATACACTATGTCATCAGACTCCAACTCAAGTGACGGAGCAGGAGTCTTTGTTATCTCAGAACCGTGTAAAACGGGCTCGGGAGTCACGAACATGGTCTCCGTAACCACCTCCGATGACACCACCGTGTCGGTTTGCACATTTGTAACATCACTGGACACTTCCGTATGGTAGTAGGTAAAAGTGGTCAGGTAAGTTTTAGTTACTACCATAGGAGAAACTGACGGGGCGGAAGTCACCGACTGGCGCGTCACACTTGGTTCTTCAGTGATAATGACTTGCGTGAGGACCTCTGTTGAGGTGGTAGCGGTTGTTTCTCCTTCCAGAGTTCTGGTGAAGGTCTGGGTTGTGAGGTACGTCTCTGTATTCAAAACAACCTGATAACAAAAAGAAAATTAGAACATATACTGATCTTGCAAAATTCGTTCATTCAAAATACGTTCAGGTATTCATTATGAATTTATTATATGTAGACCTTTAGTGTCGGATCGCGTATTAAATGAATACAAAAACAGTAAAAATACACTTTTAATATTTTAATCATTCAATCTAAATTAATTGAATCTTCAAACAACAAAACTCATGCATAACCAACTGCACCGTTTTAGGCAAATCATAATTCACCGCTTAATTAACCATCGCCTCCAAATCTAACATAAAAAAATCACAGACTGACTGCATTCATAAAAACCACTGCATTTCTGTAAACTTAGAACACACTGACCACCACTCAACATGATGAATAACACCTACCTGAGTCATCTCAATGAAGTTGCCGGAGAATGGTACGCTGGATGTAACCAAACGACTGATGGTTTCCCTGCTGGTGACCACGAGGGGAGTTGCACCGAGCAGGTCACCATCACCAGGGGAGACGGTGCTCAGGTGGGTCAGGGTGGTGTAGTAGGTCAGGGTTTGCAGGGATGCCTCGGGGACACTGGCCACCATCTTAGAAAATTGGGGAACAATTTCAGGTTGGAGTTTTACGAAAAGGCCTCTGCAAATATTCAACATATTTAGAAATAATTCATAAGTACTTTGTAAGGAAATCAGAGACAATTGAATTTAAAAATCTGCTCGTTTTTTACTTACTAAACAATTTATAAAGAAATATGATTCCAATAATTTTAATAGCCATGTCACGTTGGAATTTTATACGACAGGTTCACGCCTGCATAAAAAATATCTCCGAAAAGTGATAATTTATACTGTGCAAATTTGGTACAAGCATAATGAAGAACTTGTGTCGTGAATTTTAAAATTTTGAATTGTGATTCGAAATATAAAAACAAAACAAATATATGCCGTGAAAAATAGCCTCAGAAATTTCTACATATACATTAGATAGTAAGGAAAAATTCGGTCGGTAGTATAATGTAGTAGAATATTTAATGCCTGGCTCCTATTTTATGCCTGACGGTGGACAAACTTAATTAAAACTTGATTTTTAACGCCAAAATAAGGGTTCTATCCATGGAAACACGCTACGGAAGGTATAAGGTGTTAGCTTCATAAAATCATTGCGACATTAATTAATATATTGTGCTGTAAGTAAATGAAAGGAATAATTCGTGTACTTCGGGGAGTGGCCTCAAAGTAAATGAATGATACATTTTCAGAAATAATAATACACATTTGCACTTGTTTGGGTCATCCAGATCCACTTAGGCCCGGAAAAGGGTATATCAGTGCTACGTCCGCTCTTTACGCGTGCTGCAAGTAAAATTGTGTGTCAATATTTGGTTTTTATGAGTGTGAAGATGGGCATTCCTGAAAGTTAATTAAATCCCCGCGATAGTGTTGGACTTGTGCAGAAGCTTGAATATGTCCAGCCATTGATGATAAATTGTCAGTTGTGCGTGGAAAGCGATCCACTGGCAGCGTGAAAGTGCAGCAGTAGAGTCAGAGAAATGATCAAGACTTTGTCCAAATTACGGTGCACTTTTCACCCTGGCGCTGGTCATGACTCGGCCAAACGGCTTACCGGTGCTACGTTTGCTTGACGCTCGTTCTCTGAGGGTGTTGCAATTTGGATAACTTATGACTCATACTTTGCCTGAGTGTACTCATAGGCCTATGTCAAAAAGGTACGGAAATGGGCCATTGTTGAGAAAATGGGCCCATTGGCATTAAAAACATGCAGCAAGTTGTTCAAATCGATTAATGGTGATAAAAAAGTGTCGTAGCCTGGATAAATGCACACATTAACTATATAACGGTGAGCTTTCTGTAAAAAATCTATTAAGTGACGGTAAAATAAAGTGCCGCAGTAGATAGATGCCAATTCCATGACGATATGAGCAGTAGAACGTTGATCCTGAGTAAGTAGAGAGTGCAGTTCCGTGTATTTATAAATTCAATGGGGATAAAAACGTGCGGCAAAAAATACATCCTGAAAAATATCCTATTAAACAAATGGGAGATTCCGTGGTTGCAAGGTGATTTTATTGAGAACAGAAGTGACTTTCCGAAAAAAGTGTGTTTTTTTCGAAAAGTGATTTTCCAAAAATAATAATTACTGCTCAAAGAGGGGCAGTAACTAAAAAAAGGGATTTCCAGGTAGTACCATGATTCTTGTGACGAAATGAAACGGGTTGGATATACGGAGCGGTTGTGCTTTCATGTGAACCTCTGTAAAGATTTGTTGCAAATGGTGGACCTCAACCGTGCAGTACTTCATCATAAGTGAATCCAGACAGGACCATGGTTGTGGACACCAACCTGGGCGCCGATCGGAGATGGTATCTGGTCATAATTATCAAGTACGTACACCAGCTTCTGAACCACACTAGGAGGACTGGCAGGTCCCGAGGTATGGTCTGAACTGAATTTCATTGATCCCGTGGACTGGTGTGAATTGATATTAACTGGTCTTGAGGTGTGGTCTGGATTGAATTTCACTGGTCGCGTCACCACAGTTTCCCACATAGGTTCAGCGAGGCGGGAATCAACTTCGGATAAAACCAGTTCCCCCGATGTTTCATTACTCGATGAAGTTTTAGTTTTCCTTATTACTAATAAAGGAAGTTTTGTGGTCGCATACAAGTCTAGAACACTTATGGTTTGAGCCACTGAAGGATCTGTTTCGGGTGCGTCAAATTCAATGGAAATGGAATTATTATATGTATTTTCTTCCGCTCTATTTTCTCCCATCGGAGTTTGTGATGTGGTTAAATCTAGAATCTCACTTTGGATTCCACTTGTTGCTCGATAGATTAGAGTAGACCTCTTAGGTACATTAGACTTGGCTACTGAAATCTTATCATCGTAGCTTAAATTTAACTGAGTTGCGGATGAGTTGGTGCTATGAAATTTGTTAATTTTCTTTTCAGAATTGGAAATAGTTTTAACAACTTCCCTACTTTTCGCAGTACTGTATTCAACTGCAATTTTCCCTTCAGCTCTCGTAGATAATGTTTCATTGTCAATTGAAATCTTGCTTTCATAACTATCATTATTCCGTCTAGTGGCAGCTTGAATATCCAACTCAGGTTTACGTAAACTGCCATTCGTGTAAACAGAAGGCTCTAATTCCGAATTGTTAAACTGAGGAGCCATGATATTTGGAAATAGATTACCATAACCACTGGTGTTTCTATGGCATGTGCGTTTATCGCCACTGCACAAAAAATTGTCCAACTCCGAGCTGCTTACGCTCCCCGCGTCACTTTCTGCAGACTCAGGAACAATCACTTGATTCTCAGCCTTGTAGCTCACAACTGTTGGTTGTTTTGTCGAGCCTACGGAACTGGTTTTCGGAAAGTAAGGGTAATCTTTTATTGCAGTAGCAATGACTCTGACAGTATTAGGGTTAGAAGAAAGGTAGCTTGGATGCGGATTGACACTCAATGAACTTAGATTCTCATCATTTTCAACATTGGCGGTTACATGAGGGGTATGCGGATTCATGTCTTCATACCATTTGAAGCCATTCTCAAACATGTCAAGACTTTCTGTAGGATTAAAAGCATTCCTGTTCATATTTCCCGAGTAGTCCATCACCCACCCGCCTCTCCGAATGATATTTCGAATCGACGAAACCGAATTTGCTTTTCCAATATCATCATCCAAGAAATATTTTGGATATTTGGGGGGATTTTCCGTGTATTTTTTATCCTCCATCACGCTGAAGTTGTCGTTCTTGCTCCCAAAATTCACAGTAAGAAGAAGGCTTTCGACGATATCGTGAATTATTTTGACATTTTTTCTCAAATTATATTTGTCAGCTGTTGCATTTAGTTCAACGAATGGTGGTGACATGGAATGAGATATTTCTCTTCGATTTTGGGACGAAGGAAGAGAGACTTGCTTTAGTATCGGAACAGAGTTTACGAGCAAAGGAGTAGTAAATGAAGAAACAACATTAGATTGAAATGATTCATCTTCAAAGTTCAGCCAAGTTTGCGTAGCAGGAGTAACAGGATGGATTGTGGTTGCTGGTATAGCTGGATTAATCGTGGTTGCAGGTATAGTAGGGTGGATAGTAGTTGTAGGTATGCGAGTTACCTCTCTTCTTATTGTATGTATCATTTTAGGCGTATATGAGTTGGAACGCATGAAATGGGATACAAGGTTTGATACTAAAGGGTATAGCTCCCTTAAATGAGTAACCTCGAATGTTTGTGTTGGTGAGGCGATGTTCTTTTCTACTGATTTCGCCCACGAATTATATTTTATCCCTGGAAAATATTCTTTGGCAAGACTTTCACCGTAACTCGGCTCCGATAGATAAATGAATTTTGGATCTTCATCATTTGTCATTTTCATATACGTGGTAATTTCTTCCTTAGATTTTTGGATCGAACCAGAATCAAGCTCCATGGCAGTAGAAGAGCCTCCGTGTATGAGTGGAAATAACAGAGATTGGACTGGAAGGGTGGTAGTAACATACGATGTTCTCGGTAGCTTCACGCTGAATGTGGGATGTGCAAACTTTGTTGATGCATAAAAGACTCCATTGCTGAACTCCTCGCTTACGGTAGATTGTACATACGGTGACGTAGAAGAAGCAGACATTTGGAGGGCAGGAAATTGTGATTTAAAATCGCCGTTCACATGAAAAATAGAATTATCAACTATCAGCAGAGCATGTTTTGGATGAAGCGTTGTAAACTGAATTGAGGATATGACGGGGAATTTTCGAGCGTACTCACTGCCATCCCCGAGTAATTTGTCATTTGTTTTAAACTCTCGGGTGTTGAGCGGTTCATCCAGAGAATATCTATAGCCTGGGTCCATATCAAATGAATCGTGGTGCATTGAAGATTGTAAGTTAACACTGTCAGTCGAAGTATATTGCTCAAGAGAATGCAAATTAATGTGGTTGATGAGTTTTGGGCTTCCCATATAAGGGATGAGCACCTGCTCTGTGAGGGAGGCATGACTCTGGGAAATTGGGGATGGCGCACCATTCGAAGTTTCTGGACGATGAGTTTGAATTGATTTTGGGGATGGACGGTAGGTGTGAATCAAGGAATTGTCGGAGTTTACAATACAATTCGAACTGGAAAGAACTGTATTCGGATCTTCGGAATGTTTGAGGTATGCTGGGGCAAAGAACATAGGTGGTTCTTGAAGTGAGGAAAAGGTTGATGAAAGAGGAGTCTCTCCAGAAAATTTCGTGAAGTCATTCAGCTTTAGTTTCAAAAAGATTTCCTCTTGGTTTTCTCCGGGTTTTTCTTTGAAGTCGCTTCCATCGCGGTTGCTGACTTTCCCCAGGAGTTCAGAAGCATTCAACTCGCTTTTCAAAATGTGATTTTGTTCGAAGATTCCTTTCTCTACCACCCCTACTTTCAACTGGGATGGATCTCCCTTTCTACCTTCCCCTTTGAGCATTTCATTACCGCGTTGTATAACTTTAATCTCGGTCAGATTGAATCCTGCCATTTTGAGTCTCTGGATAATCACTCCCTGGTACGCCCTCAAGAGGGGGACCTGAAGCTCATCACCCAAGACAGTTAGTGACACGAGAGAACCGTTCCTGTACCCCAGCTCATACGTGACATCGTCAGGCGCGGTCACACCGAGTCCAGGCTGCTAGAATTGTAGCTTATTATTTAACATGCATCACTGAGTAAACTTTCGTTTATCTCACTCTGAATGTGATGAAATAAATTTTTTACAATCGCTAAGGACTTGTGAAACCATTTTCAGCCATTGTAAATTTCTAAATTGCGTAATAAATTTATATTCAATTTTGGAATGAGTACAACTTATATGAATGCATCAATGGAGAACTTCTTACTTGAAGGTTTTTAATAATTACTTTTTGTAATAGTGTTAATAATTTGATTTATATTTAATTTCATAGTTAACTAAATTAGTTTTTCAGTAAATTCAAATAAGTTATATATGTTTTTTCTGAATTAACTACTGACAATCTTAATAACTCGGGCTAAAATATTTTTTATTGAATAGTTTGGGATCATCATTCCAGACTTTTCCTCCATTAATTCAATAAAGTTTCATCAACAATGATTTATTAACAAATATAACGGGCACCCACCTGGCTGGGGTCCGCTGAGGCCCGTAGGCTGACCTGCCCCGAGAGGGTGGAGGGGGGGAGGGTGACGGGGGCACCCCCCTCAGGGTGGGGGGGCAGGGGAGACGTCTGTTCTCCTGGGTCGTGAGCAAGTCATTATTTACTATATATTCATTTAAGTGTTACAAAGAAATGTATCATAAAAACCCATACTGTATAAACTCTACTTAATTATATGATTACCTGATTATGGATTAGTAAGATTTTGCGATTGTCCATTACATTATTAAGAAGATATATTTTTACGATCTAATAAAATTTTATATTAATAATAAATAAATATTACCTAACTGTTCAATAAAAAATTTTTGGAAAATATAAAATGAAAAAATACATAGATCGTACATACAAGTTCCTTAAAAAAACTTCATTCACATTAACTTTGGATACTTCTAACAAATTCTGTTCGGAGAAATTGTTCTAATTATCGGAAAGTATCACGATTTCCGTTCTGTGATAAATATAACTTTTATGCTTTTAATTTGGCTACTTGACTAATGTCGTTTTTCGTGCTAACAAGAAAATTAAACCATTAAATATGACATGACATTATTTCAATACCTATAAGTGGAGGTTATAAGGCATAGTATGTCATGTGACATGTGAGCAATACCAAGCCATTTAATGTCATTATTTGTCCTGCTATGACATCTTTGCCAGTATCAAGTCCATAAAATGGGTAACTTCACGTAGAAAATTTCTAGTTTGGAAATCCATGCTTCATATTCTATATGAAGTACAGTTTATATCATTATTGAATCTATGTTATTGATGTACATTTTGTATATGATGTATATTCTGTATACTCATTGGTGTATAATGCATATGAAGTGTTTAATTCGTTAAAGACTAGAATGTAAGTTTTATCTACAGTTAATTTATTGATGAAAACAATAAGGAAATTGTTTACCAAAAATTAAACGCTGGAATTATCAATTCAAACTAAAAAATTTAAAATAGAAAATAAAATTTACTCTATAGTCTTCGAAAAACCTGCAAACAGCTTCTGCGTTTGCTCATTTTTGCGTATCATGTGTACACCCGCTGTCATATACGTATAATGTGTAACTAATGTTTATATAGGATGTGTATACGCATTGTTGAATATGATCTGTATATTCATTGTTATATATGATGAGACACTCATTGTTATGTATAATGTGCATACCCATTGTTGTAGGCGATGTGAATACTCATTACTGTATATGATGTGTATACTCATTCTCGTATACTTATGGCTGATGTATACAAGCCGCTAGTGTTAGCTTCTATCAACCAGGCAACCAAAGCAAGTGTTGGTCATTAAGCGATGACTAAGCAATTCTAGAAGCAAATTTATTAAAGAACCACTCGCGTCGTCTTGACAAAGCTTAATGGTTGTCCACTTGACAGGGGTTCTTGGTTTCAACCCCTATTATCAACATGACAACCCCTATTATCAACATGACAACCCCTATTGTCAGCATGACAACCCCTGTTGTCAGCATGACAACCCGTATTGTCAGCATGACAACCCCTATTGTCAGCATGACAACCCTTACTGTCAGCATGACAACCCCTACAATTCAATTGAAAAGGGGGCATTGACGTAGTTGGTTCCAGTCTCTGCTGAATACATGGAAATTGATGGCACGAACCAATTGCTTAAAGTTCTTTCAGCTGAACAGTCATGACAGTACGACTGTTTCAAAGGTCCTTCATGCCATCAAGAAGTTTTACCATAGCGTTTACGTCCCCTATTTTCCACATAAATCATTGTAGGCTGAACTACAATGACTCCTCCACCCTTTTCTGTTGAGAAGCTTTAAATCGATATATACTGCAACTAATAGCATATCTTTCATATTAAAAAGCGATGAGAAATTCGGAGGAACAGAATCGTTATATGGAGAGAGTAGTTTCTATGACCATACAAAGTAAATTGTAGTATCGAATGTTGTCGAATTGTGGAAAGCGATATGAGGTTAAAAACTATTCCCTGGCAGTGTCTATGGAAGGATAATGTGAGCCATTGTTGGATGTATGAATGATACGATGATGAGATGAAATAGAGCATTGTTAAATGAATAGATCCGAGATAATTGCGGGATAAAGTAAATCATTGTTGGATGAATGAGCCTGAAACAGAGGCGGGATGTTAGGGATGAATAATTAGGTACCAGCATGCGATATTGTGCGTTGTGAACATTTCTTCATGCAGAGGGAGGGCTCTTAAGATTATACTGGTGAGACTAAACAAAAAAATGACCCATGCACATTCTTGTTAGCGCATCCTCAAAAAAAACGAAAAAAGTGTACAATACTCGAAAGAAAGGGTTGCATAACAATTCCTCTCAAAAATATTAAATCACTGGGGACAATTTATTCTTAATCAAATGGTATGTACCCGACTACCCACAAACTCGTCGTTGCCAACGATGGACTCACCTGCAACAATAACGCGTACGCCGTTGCTCATGGTTCTCGTGGCAAGATTTTTGTTTGGACCCCAAAGCTCTAAATTGCTGCCGATTGCCCCACCATCGAAGGCTATGTTCTTTCCTTCCCTTGTGATAACATTACTGTGAACATCTTCTTGCTCTATGGCAGGTGGTGTTTCCGTTGAGGTAATAGATTCGGAATCATTTTCTACGGGGGCTTCGCCTCCAAATACGGGTGAATCGGTACTGGATTCAACTGAATCTTGGTCAAAAGAATCATTTGTTGCTTCAGCAATAGCGGAAATGAAATCGGGAATCGAAGTGACTGAGTGTGAAACCACCGTGTCATTTTCATCTCCATCGAGGATACCAACATCTTCGAGAGCGTTGTAGTTTTCACCGTCTGAAATCATGTTTTCTTCTTCGTCTACCCTGAAGAGGTTGTGGAGGCTTTCAGTGCTTGGTGCCGAGGAAAATTCCTCTGAAGGGGATGCCGTGGCTGACGAAGGGTCGTTGGTGTATCTTTCTGTTGTAGTAGAAGGGCTGTTAGTGAACCTGAACCCACCTTGTTTCTTCGTGGTGGCTGAAGGAGTGGTAGTACTTTCAACTTGGGTGGATGTTTCGGGGGATTCTGAAGTCAAAGTTTCCAAAAATTCCTCGAAGTTATTTAGCAGCTTGTCGTTGTCTAGTTTATCGTTTACTAATTTATTTCTTTCAGTGTTGACTTCAGTGGTCGTTTGTGCAAATAAAACTGAGTTGAATAACGTGGTGGGGAAGCTGACCGGAAGGGAGTAATCGAGACTTCCATCGGTGTCTATTTCGTTACCACGCTGGTTGGTTTCAGTAACTTCTGACTGGAATATACTAGTTTTTAGGGCATCAATAGCAGCTGCAAATGGATTATTGGTTGTCGTTACCAGTTCTTCATTTGTTTTCGTAGTTTTGAATCTTGCTTCGAACTTTGTGATACCCTTTCCTGTGGTAGGTGCTCGATCACGTTCAGTTGTGGACTCCAGAGCGGCCAGACCCGTTTCAAAAGGGTTTAGTTTCTTTTTCTCAGCCACAACTTCTCGAGAATTTTTGTCATCCAAAACTGGTTTTATGTTAAAATCAAGAAGAGCAGGCAAGACCGAATCGATTTTAGGTTTCGATAACTCGAACCTAGTTTTTCGTTCAGGTGCAGATTGAGGGATAGAAGCTGACGCTTCAACATTTTGATTCCTCAACGTCTGAGTTGCTTGTGTTGCTCGGGGTGAAGTCGGTACTCTCCGGAGTGGTATGTCAAATCTCGACCGTTGCTTATCAGTAGATTTATCTGAGTAGTGAGGTTAGGTTTGGATTACGTTGGCAAGTCATCACGAATATAAGCATTCAGGTAATTAAATAAAAAGAGACACTCACGTCTTAGCAATAACAGGCAAGGTTTAACAAGGATCACATGCAATAATAATTTGGCTTAATAAACAACGCTGCAAATGGGAAAAGAAATTTTGAAAATAGAGAAGGGAACATACTATTTTCACAGCAGGCACAACGAAAAAACTTTAGAAGTACGAGTACTGAAAATTGTACATTGAAACATAACTCTAATCTCACCTCTTGATGTTTCGAAAGAAGAGGATATTATGCATTAATTACTTAATGCAATGAAAATAGTATAAGAAAAGTGAAAACGTTGACACGGAGGGCAAAGAAAGCGATGAAAGAAAGAGCACATCATCGGTCTCAGTCTATACACATGCTACGTCAAAAAGTTCTTTGTACAGCGTCTCATGTCATAGTGTAAAAAATATCCATTTATTTATGACTTTAACACCATTTTCTGATCACTTTATAATCTTTTCTGTATTAAAATGTTTACGACATTTGTTGGGAAATTAAAATTATTGATTGAAATCGTGATAAATAACAGCAAATTTCAATGAGTACTACAAATCTTCTTAGAATGTTATTTTTTGAATAACCGCTTTTTCGATACGTTTAACAATTAAACGTCAGCAATCAAATTTAACAACAGTTGTCATCGGATGGTTTTGAAAAGTTTGAAAGATTTTTTATGAGATTACTTCTGTAATATAAAGTATATATGTATTTAAATACCTCCATGGTCACCGTATAACAGAGTTTTACTGAACATTATCAATGGATATTTCCAACAGAGTTAAAACTGTCCTACATGCAAAATTTGATTGAAATAAAAATCAACTCAACTGAATAAAGTTAAGTATAAATCAAAACGTCATTCGTGCAATACAGTCTAAAGAGAACGAATTCACCATGCGAGGAAAAGAAGGAAAATGAAGACATTGATGAATATTAAAACGATTGAACGTTTATATTTATATTAATGAAAGTCATTAGGAAGAAAAATTCGTTTAAAATAATTTTCCCTTAAGGGAAAAACGTCTATGTTTTCCCACCGGTAGACATAAAGATAACAATTACTTCATAAAGACGTAATAATAAATGAACAATAACATTAAAATGGATGGAATTTTGTGAAATTTTTGACAGCGTGAATGTAAGATATGTGAGAGAAGAATAAATACGGGGAAAGATTTATGAAGGAATGATTTATGAATGAAAGATTTATGAAGGAAAGATCAATATGAGAAAGATTTATGAAGAGTAGTTTTATGAAGGAAAAATTAATGAAGGAAAGATTCATTAAGGAAAGATTCATGAAGTGAAGATTCATGAAGCAAAGATTCATGAAGTGAAGATTCATGAAGGAAAGATTCATGAAGTGAAGATTCATTAAGGAAAGATTCATGAAGGAAAGATTCATGAAGGAAAGATTCATTAAGGAAAGATTCATGAAGTGAAGAGGAAAGATTCATGAAGGAAAGATTCATTAAGGAACGATCAATGAAGGAAAGATGTATGAAGAAAAAAAATGAAAAATGACAGATGGTCGAAGATATTTTGGTTTCTATTTCATTCTGTGCGAATTCTAGGAAAAAGTCTACTTATGACGAAGCAATATTGTTTCTTCATCTCTTATCAAGAATCGTCTACCTATGGCGACTGCCACTCAACACACACTCAGTTAAATGGGTGGGTCAAATTGTTGTTATAGTTACCCCTAGCGAAAGCAGAAAGCGGACGTAGCAATGATACGCCCTATTGCTGGGCCTAACTGTGTCAGGTTGACCCACACAAGTACAAAAAGCATTTTAATGAAAAAGTCCCTTCAATTAATGCGATGTTCAAGATTGAAATATCGAATGGACATGAAAATTAAATGCTTTTAACCAACCGATAAGGTAACATGAAATTTAGTGAGAATTTTCGTATATCAGCACTAATCACACAGCTGAAAATTGGAAAATTTATCATATAAATTTCGGATGCGAAACCCATTTCTGAGCCGAGTCAGTCACAAAAAAATATAATCAAAAGACAGATACACAAGAAATAAGAAAGAACATGACTTTTTCATATGATGTTCTTATTGATGATCTTTCATGTAACGTAAAATTGATCAATTTTCCAAAATTATATTGCAGAAAAATTTGAATTTGAGGTGAATTTTAGTGTAAATTTCACGATAGATGCTCGATTATAGGAAGAATAAATGTAAATAAAGGCAGAGCAAGATAAGACGGACGGGAAATAATCAAAACTTAACTGACTTTAACTAGTATAATACATTTTCATCAGCCGAAATAATAAATATTGAACAAAAATTAATTTCAAATGCATAGAACTAAATTATAAAATAATAATCAAAATTCAACTGAATAATCAATTATTTCAATTTTCGAGCAGCAAAAATCCTACTGAAAATAATTCATTAGAATTAAAAATTTTTAATACGAACGACTTAAATTTTGTCAATGAAACAAATTACACTACTGAATTAATTAGATTAATAATACAGTTATTAATCAAAACTATAATTTAACAATGGGAAACACTGGATTTAATAAAATTATTATTTTTAATTTTAACATAATTACTCACCGGACGCAGCGGCGGAGCCGAACCGGAATCCGCTGAACTCTAATTAAATAAAATAAAATAAAGAAAAGATTTTTAAAAATTTGAAGAATTATCCAAATTGTAAAATTATCTCAAACTAATTCGGGAAATTAATTCAAAGTTTTAGGAATGATGTTGTTATTAAGAAAATTTCATTTATATTTATTATTAATATCAATTTTCATGATTGGACTTTTAAAACTAAAATTTTGACAGAGGCTTTCAAATTTTGTAAATACAAAGCCTTTTCAAAATGGTGCAATTCAATTCCAATGAAAATTTTGCCAATATGACCCTTGCAAACTAATTATAAAGTTAATATTGAAAATACCATAATTTTCACGACATGCATTGTTACTCGAAGTTAAACTATAAATAATAATAAAAACAGTTAAAGAAAAGTGAAGAAAATAAAATAAATTTTGCTCGAAATTTGAAAGAAAAAGTATTTTTCATGCAAAAAAAGGATTTGCGTAAGAAAACATAGAATAAGAAATGAAAACACAAGCCCCCAAACAGAAAATATTCTTGGAAATAAATAACATAAAAACAGTTTTGCAAGCAGGCAACAGTGGGGAATATAAATCGAAGGTAATTCAACAAGCGAGCACAAAATATTTAGCAATGCAAGGTGAATTTATTCAGCAGTTTCATGGAATAAATCCGTGAAAAAAATCTTTCTGATATAATTTCTGGAATACTGTAATGGACATTAAGTTTTCATTTACTTTTAAAAAAACTGTGATTTTTAGCGATTTTTACATTAAATTAATTATTGGAAGGAAGCCATTCAGTGAAAGCCCACAAGTTTTGAACTAAGGACACATACTGGCAAATAATATATGTGTTTAGATTTAATTTCATCATACATAATATCCAGCTGAATGCGATTAGTGATAATATCGCTGAAGTCTCTTGCATCTTCCAAAAAAGATAATTCCATTCACATAGAGCTTCCAAGTTTCTTGACTGTTGTGTATTGATTTTAAATAATCTTGTACATTTTTGCACAGTTTATATATCTTCGTTTACAATAAGTCTTATATTTTGAATCCAGACAGAATTACACAATAAAAATAATTCATCCTAAAACCAGTATTCAGGCTATTACTTAACAACTCATGCCGACATGTTAACTACATCCACAAAAAATGTACAATACCATGCATTAATTCGAGCATTCGTTAACAGCTGTTCATTTCTAGTTGCTAACCATCTACGACAATTTCTTCATCATAGTTCCTACGAAATGGTTAATTAGCTATTCATTTTTAATTTTTTGAATATTAATTAATTATATCTTCGAATCAATTTATTCTTGATTTGCCGGTGCTCGTGCTTGAGCCAAACTAACTGTGAGCTAAATCATTATTTTATAAACTAAAAATAATAATAAATGCACGATCATTATTTATTTAAATTCAACCATTTTCGGGTTATCAACAAATATAATGATCCGTTTTGGAACAGAATTCGGATTACATAATTTTTGCTACTCAGGTTTAACTAATCGTTCAGTTAAAAAAATCCAGGTTATCCGAGCCTCTGGGTTAATTCTAGCACGCAATCAAAGTACTAATCGTTAGGTTAGTAGGCGTCTAATTCAGATAATGCGAGCTGTTATTTGCATTACTTCATGCTAATCAGACTATTGTTAATTTTCGTGTTAATAATGCCATTGTTAAGACTATGCTAACCCAATCCCAATCAGATTATTATGAGAATTTCACTACAATTTTGCTTTTTGTTTAATGACTAGCGTTACTTTTCACGTGTTATATTACTCCGATCGGAGACTACGAAAAATCTTACCCGAAGTCCTCGCAGTCTTTTCTTCAGGTGTCGTAGCGGTCGAGGAGAAGATTCCGACTGGTGACTTGCTTCTATCTGGCGAAGTTGTGGTACTCCTAAGGGGCTTAGGGAGTAGGTCTGGGTTGAAAAGTTCTGGGGCGCGGGTAATAAGGTGAGCGTCTGTTGCATGTAGGGTTTCGAGGGTTGAGGTTACAATGCTCAGAGTGACAGTCTTCTCACCATCAAGAATTGGCAGGAAAGTGTTGGTCGTAAAAGTTTTCCACACAACGTTCGGTGGCAACACATTGGAAGGTTTGCGAAAAGCCAGACCCGAGGTAAGTTCCAAATCGGTCTTGGACTTGGGATTAAGTGAGGGTTTGACTGACTTGTCGTTTTCAGAAACAGGGTCCTCTTCTTCGTCGTAGTACTCAGTATAATAGTCATCGAGGTAATCAGCCGGAACTAAGTCACCTTCAACGTTAGTCAAAGACGAGGTGGGAGTGGATATATTTTTCTGAGCCGTAGCCAACTGGAATCTGAACTTTGGAGCACTTGTTGTTACCTCTGTTTTTGAATCCACATTTGATCGTAACGGTGCTGAATCAGTTCTATGTTCATCATCTTGACTGTCAGGGTCCTTGACTGATGTTCTACTTGGCTTGTGTCCACCGAAAAGAAGAGGATCGCGAAGTTTCGGTTTTTCGTCACCTCTTATTCCAAATCTGAATTCACGAGCAGGAGTGGTAGGTACCGTTTTCATGGTGGTGGATGCTTCAGTAGTGGCCACCGTTGATTCCAATCTTCTGTCCTTTCTCTCGTGAGTGAATTTTAACCCCTTGGACGGTGTAGTATTTTCGCTATTTGCCGATACTTGGCCAAAAATGGAGCTAAAATCCAGCGCAGCTGAAGATCCATCCGTTATTGACTCATCTTCCGTCTTGTCTGTTGCTGCATCAGCGGCGGGTTTTAGTCTGTCTCCGATCGGAACTCTACTTGTGTCTCGGTCTCCAGTGGGACGGCGAATTATGGGAATATCATCACGTCTCACTGATGGTCGCGAAGATCTTGTAGTGGATTTTCCAGTTGTGGTTTCTAATGTTGGAAGTGATTCCATATCATCTAAGGATTTAGTGGATGACTTGGGGCTTTCGGTTGACGGTGAATCAGTAATGATTATTTCTTCTTCAATGGTTTCAGTGGTCGTAATTTCCCGACCACGTGATCGTCCTCTCGAAATTTTCCGTAAAGGTGGTACAGTCGTGGTAGTCAGCTGATCAATGGTCTGGCCACGATTCCGTTGACGATCTTTCAATGATCTTTGTGGGTTTGGTGTTCGAGGAGTATTTTCTGGACTCACTCGCGATTGGTTTGGAGATGCAGTGCGCACTTGCACTTCTTGAGGACGACGCCTAGTTACTGTGAATCTAACTCGATCATTTGCGTTATTGAACCTGACAGATCCTCGGCTGAAGTTTGGAGTGCTTGGTCTGCGAGCTTGAGGTTTTTCCTCTGGTTCTGTAGTATCTTCGATGATAGGTGACTGGGTTGTTTCATCTTCTAGCGCATCAGCATCAGTAGCAGATTCACTCGGTCGAGATGGCCTGAATAATCGTCTAGTGGGTAGAACCCGCGACGCTGTTGTTGATGTTATTGCGGGTGTCTCTATTTGGTGAGCTCCTTCATCGTCGTGGATTGAAGACTGTAGAAGCGATTGTGGCCGCCTTCCTTGAGTTTCACGTTGACTGTTTACCTCATCGTTTATCAGAGGAAGTTTTGTGCTCAAATCCACCAGGGTAGCAGAAGCAAGATAAATTTGTGTAGTTAACGAATTCAAAACTCTCGGCCCTAAATTAGCTGTCACTTCTCCAACTTCTAAAGTGTTCAATTTTGCTCCAGGATCGCGGAATTCTTCTGGAACAGTTACGACAGAAGGTCTAACTCTATTGGACACTGTGACATCTCTGGTAGAAGATACAATAGAACCTCCTCCGCTATTAATTTCATAAAGATATGAATAAACAGTATACAAAGTTTCAATAGTTCCAACAAACGGCGCCACAGCGACTGCCATTGCGGTAGGTGCTTGGGCTTCTGATTCCCGTTGGGTTACAACTACAGGACCTTTTTCTGTTTTGTCCAAATTTTCGACGACATCATTATTGCGATTGATAGTGGGTCTCCTAGGTAGCAGACGTGGTTTTATCCGATCACCGACTCGGCTGACCACAGTGGGGACTGTGGTTGCATCACTCTTCTCAGCATCATCATTAGGTATTATTCTTTTGAGAGTCTTGATGACCTTTCTTCTCTCTAGTTGCTGAGATTGTCTGTCGGAGACTTCTTGTTGTCCACGTCTGTTATTCACGGGATGGACAGGCGTCTGTGATGGTCGACGCACAATAAATGTTTGTCTACCCGTCGAACTCCCTTCAGTGACAGCTTCTACCGAGAGAGGAGGTGGAGGATCAGGAATTGGTTGGAAGGGCTCAACACCTGCACCATCTTTCACTATGGGTCCAAAAGGTGGTTCAGGTTCCTGGAATGAAGGTTCTGGAACTGATCTGGGTCTACCAGGTACTATAGCTTCGTCAATTGTGAATGCTTCAGTGGCTTTTGCATCCCGATTCACGTCAGTGGCAGCAATCCGCGTTAAGTCACCAATTTCTGCTGCAGCTGTGGCAACTTGGGTGATTGTATCTAAGCTGCTTTGAATAAACTCTCTTCCACTTTCATCCACTAGTGTTGTGTAGTAGGTGAAAGTGGTGTAGTACGTGGTTGGTGCATTGATTTGCTTGATTTGATTAGCGATTCTTTCATTTTGAATCTTAGAGCCCTGAATTGTTAACTTTCTCGCATTAGGATTAGTACGGACGTTCGTAACTGAATCATCATCAATAACGATTCCCTGATTTGCAGTTTCACTTGGAAATTTTCTAGCTTGTATCAAGCGATCACGAAATCGTAATGTTCCCCGCTGGGCACTTCGAGGTATTCGCCTTTTTGGAGTTAGCGACTCAGCGGGGACGTTCAATAAAAAAGGGTTCGCATTAGAAAAAAGGGCTTCATCATATGTCACCGGAATTTGGCCGAGATGATAACTGAGCCCAGGAACAAAGCTTTCAAGACTTGGAGTTTCGTCATGAACGTTGGGACTGTCAACCTCATTAATGGCTGACATAATGTACCAATCCAAGTCTTTATAATAGTTATCAGAAAGAAATTTGGAACCTTTGTCTGCATCTAAGAACTGAGGTAATGCCGTAGGTTGTGCCAGCTCAGTGGGCTGCCGTTTCACCCTTGCCACTTCTCCATCAAGGGTCACAGTCGAAAATATTTTAGAAAATTCTCCAGGTCTTCGACCAGATACAAACATGGTTATTACCGATGTTTGGATTACCGGTTCTGGATCAATTTCTGGAGGTGTGGAAGGCTGAGTTTCTGGCTTGCTCTCTCTTATGGGTTCTTCTCTAATAGGTCTTTGTTGGGTTTGTTGTTGCTGTAGCTGATTTTGCAACAAAAGTGGCAGGAGTTGGTTCAACGGATTTTGATTTCCAAATGGATTTAAGGTATTTCCCACAGTCTCCGTGATAAGCTCGGTTGCTGTGACTACTTCTGTCCTCGTATCCACGACAGTTGTCGTGACCATTTTGCCTCTGAATATAATGGGCAAAAGCGTTGATAAGACGCTTGTAACTGTAGTTACATAACTGGTAGTTCTCACTACCTCGCTAGGAGTCTGTTGACCAAGTCCAAGAGCTGCTAGCAGTGGATTCTGTTGTTGGCCAGACAGCAGAAGTTGAAGAAGATTCTGAACATCAGGGGCAGCGGTCATTGTTACAACGTTGAAAATCTGAGTAGGAATAACCTGAGTGACTTGCGTACGCTTGCCATTGACGAAACTATTAGCAGTGACGGCAACTTCTGACTCCTGCGGCTCAATAAGGACCCGAGTGATTTCATTGCCATTTTGGATTGTGGAAAGGAGAAGCTTTATTTCCCCATTGATTTCAGTCTGAATAATCTGATCAGGCTGGATCACTTCAGTTTGAGTGGATGCAGTAATTACTTCCTTGTGAGAAGTGCGTCCATTCTTAACCTCGGGTATTGAGGTGGTGAAAGGAACAGATCTCGTGACTGTTATCGGATCAAAAATATCGAAGGTTCCATCGAAGCTCGGCAGCAAGAACGGCTCGGGTTCAATTTCGGCAACTGGACGATTGCGGAACTCAGCAATGGGATTTTTTCCCCCAACTTGAGTTCGCTTATTATTGGGAGCCTTGTTGTTCAAGTTTCGGTTGCGCGGAGCTGCAGGACGTTTCGGAGGAGCTCGATTCTCAGAAGGTTTCGAAAATCGGTTTGCTGCAGGTCGTTGGGGAGTTTCAGGCGGTTGTCGTCTGACGCCTCTGCCCCGAATGTTACCTAGAGGCACTGAGTTTCGAGATGACTGAGCTCTTAATCGATTCAGCGATCTTTGTGCATCATTGTTTTGTTGAGTGTTGGTATTTTCCCTGGGTAGTGCAGGAGCTCGGGACCTTGATCTTGCATTCGTTAAAGTAAATTGCGCTGGCTTAGCCTCTTCTTTAGGTGTTGGAGCAACCTCTTCCTCTGTGTGTGAGTTTCTGTTAGGTATCCGAATTGGTGATGTGTTACGGCTGCGGGGCCTAGGAGGAGGAGCAGCATCTGACTGGGGCTGACGAGCTTGTCGTGAAGGAGGCCGGCTTTCTGACTGTTGGCTGTCAGCTGATGGCGGCTCGGCGCGGGCCGGAGAAGTTCTTGAAACACCGCGAGATGAAACACGTGCTCCAAAATCAGTTTGTCGTTTTCGGCGTGTCAGAGACAACGCATCACCAGCATCGAGAGAAGTTGCATCTTCAGGCGTGAAATAAATAAGGTCGATAGGATCATTGGGGTTAACTACACTTCCATCAACATCGGCATACAAAACTGTCAACTCTGAGCCATCTCCATCGAGCTGATCTTCATTGTTACGATTTGGGAATAATCTTGAAAGAGCAGACCTTGAAGCCAGCTTTTGTCTTTGCCTCCTGCGTTCTTCGACACTCAAGGCACTTGGAGACGTTGGTCGATTTCTTGCATTAGATTGCGCAAGTTTGGGAGTTGTAGGTTCTGGTTTCGGGGTTGTTCCTTCGGTTGTAGTTGGAGCGAAGCGGCTACTAGCCGAGTGATTGCCATCTGATTCCACTTTTCTGGCACGAGGTAAGAATGGCAAAGAAGAACGTGTGCCTGGTGCCACCTCTTGTCGCCGAAAACTGAATGGCCTGAAACTGTTCACCGGTGAGTTCCCTTCTGACTCTTCAGTTTTCTCAACCTTACTTGTTTTTTTAGCTGGCAAATCTTCAACTTCTTTCGTTTTCTCAATGTTGGGCTTCACAGAACTTGGAGAGATACTCGATTTCCCTCTAGCAGAGGCAAACGGATGTACCGACGGTCTTCCGCCTCTAGATGTCTGAAATCTCAGTCGACGAGTTGGATCTTCAGGCCGAGCAGAAGACCTGTCAACAGCAGAAACAGGAGTTTTCACAATAGAGGAGCCAACGCTCAGAGTCGCTGAAGAAGAGGCCTTTAATTTTTCGCTCTCTGGGAGACTACCAATCAAGGTAGTTGGGAACGTAAATGTTGAAGTTCTTTTAATGAATTTGAAAATATCAGGCCTCCTTGAAGATGTGGATTCTCTTGAAGATATTAAAGTTTCCAAAGAGTGCGAAGATGCCTGTTCTTTTTCAATTAGATCCTTTTGTATGGAGCTGAACTCCTCTTCAATGGGCAATTTTACAGATGGTGTCAATACTGGAGTAGGACTGATGGTAAGGTCGTTCAGAGACGCCTGAAGTGTTGGAGTAACTTTCATTTCAATAACATTAGTTGCTGCCAGTGGTGAAAATACGGTCGATGGTCCAATAGTTGTGGTAGAAGAGCTTTCAACGACCTGTGTATAAGATCCATCCACAAATGTTCCGATTATTGTGCTGTCATACAGAGTGGTTTTGGAACCTTGAATCTGAGACCCAATGATTTGGCGAACCACACCCGTTTTGGATTCCTTATTGAGGAACGCAGCAAAATCAGGCTCACCATCAATAGTGGAAGTCGCTCTAATTTCCGTTGATGATACACCATCACCTACAAGCTCGATATACTGGGAAGTGAAGTGAGTGGTAAGTCCATTCGAGATAAGCGATCCTGCATCCACGCTGTAAACACTCACAGTTGTGGTATCTCGTTGAGAAATCACTTCACTCGTTGTGGACTGCATCTGGAAGTAAACTCCATCCACAATGGTCCCAAAAACTCGCGTTGAAAAAATTGTAGTTGCATCATCTACCACTGTGCTGCTTCGAATGGTGGACAAAAGTCCTGTTGGCTGATCGTTGATTCCCTGATCAACCTCTGATAAAAATTCTTCCTCTACGACTGCCGCATTCAGTTTTGTCGTATCCTCAGTCGTATCATCGAACCCAAAATTAATAGCGGTTATCGAGGAGTCTACTGCAACAGAGGGGGTTGACTGAACAACATTTGTGATGGTTTCCAGACGACTATTGACTATCGTTGACGTCCCTAAGAAAGTCGATGTATAGTAGGTGTAGGTAGTGTAGTACGTTGTGGCATCAACAGTTACCATCATGTCGTCATCAACGCCACTGATCGTAGAGGTTGGAGTAATTATAAGAACTTCGGTAGGCCTATCAGGTACTGCAGATAGGGTGACACCCACGACGTTCGACACGGTTTCTTCTGAGCTGGTGGTAACGGTGGTGTTGTGCCTGAAGAAAGTAGTCCAGTAAGTATAGGTGGTCCAGTAGGTAACGGGGGGAGTAGCTATAATGGGGCTTATCGTTCTGTGCTCATCCAGCTCCAGAGAGTTGCTAATGATATTAGTGACAGTTTCAAAGCTACTTAAAACGGACGACGTGTCATCGAGGTGGTAGGTGGTAAAGTAAGTGTACGTAATATAGTAGGTTCGAGGATAAAAAACAGCATCGACATCTTCATCTGCGACTAAAGAAGATTCTAAATTAAGCGATGGCTTCTCGGTGGCATCTTGTGACGACCGATCTGTCGATGATTCGGAAATAGATTCAGAATAAGATTCGGTCACACTTTCTGTGGAAGAGATGGCGGTGGTTGAATCCAAGGCATCTTCGGTCGTCATTTCCATTTGATCAAGCTTCATCATTTCTTCAGGAGAAATGGTGCTTTCAATGCTCATCACCTTTGATGGCTGTATCATCCCTGCACTGACAACTTTAGTATTGGAAGTGACATGAGTCGATCCGGATACGAACTTAGTGGTGTAGTACGTCAAAGTGGAAATATCATCACTAGATGATTGAGATCCATGTATAGTTCGACCAGAATCAGATACGGAAAGTGGAAGTAATTTGGAAGTTTGATATCTCGTAGAAACAGTAATTTCTCCGTTGCGAACGTACGTGGTGTAATATGTCAGCGTTGTGACTGAGGGAAGGATAGTTGCAGAACTCTCTTCTATTAGCTCACCATCTTTCTGCCGCTCGACAATTGTCTGTTCAGATGGATCAGAAGATACCGCCCGGCCTAGGGAATTGTCCAATAATTCTTCAAGGATATTAGATTTAAAAGACTCCGTCGTTGGTTCTTCGGTCAAATTTTCGAAAAATGCTTCAAGAATATCTTTAGTGCTCGATTCAAACTCAGGCATTTTGGTGGCCGTTATTATGGATGGTTTTGTAGCATCAATGCTGCTTGGAGCGCGAGATTTCAAATAAAAAATACTTGAGGTCGATTGGACGATCTGCGCGTATTGATTTTGAATGAATGTACCATAAATATACGTTGTGAATACCGTAGTCATTCCGTTGCCGATTATGGTACCCCCAATTGAAGACACTAAACCCGATGGGTACAAGTCCACGGTATTGTAGCGAGAAGTTTCTACTGTAGAGTAAATGATACCTGGCAAGTGACTTGTCTGCGTCACCGGAGCTATGACTTCCTTTTCGTCCTGCATCAGCGAACTGCCATCATTCTTGGCCACCATAACAGTTTTCATGTCCTTGGTGTCCAAATTATTGTCACCATCGCTCAAAATGAAACTTGGACCTGCTGGGGCAACCCGTGGAGCGAGGGATGACACGGCTCCAAAACCTGCAAATGGAGAATCCACTCGCCCGGTTTCTTGTCCGGTTTGTGTAACGTAAATTTTTTGAGACGAGGCGCCAGGCGGAGTTTTCGATTTAGGTGTAAAAATTACAACTGTGTCCGCTATCGTCGTCGTAAAGTCAGCAAACCCTACGTAGGTCACAGTTGGCAGATTCGACTTGCGGTCACCCCTCTCCAAGTTGAATTCGGCTCGAATTTCATCGGCAGTTTTAGTTTTCTTCTTCACTTCATATTTTGGAAAGAGGTTTTGGGCATCCTTTTTCTTCAGTCCTCCGGATACATGTACCACTTCTTCTAAAGTTTGGTCCGGAACCTTAACCGTGAAAGTTGGAAGATTTATATCTACTGACTTGACCTTATCTGGCAGGATCACAATTTCGTCCGCTTTATCTTCCGTCACTTTCCGTGCACGAGGAATGGCGTTTCCTGTAATTTCATTCTCCTTATCAGTTGACTCCATTATATCTTCCATTTTCATAATCGTCATTTTATCTTGGAATTTTGTGGAATATGCAACTTGAACAGGAGTTCCTATCGTGATCGTCAGCAATTCTATATCGTCGGACGTGATGCTTTCAGAACCTTCGAGCTCTACGTCGGTCATGACATTCTTGGGAGATTCAACAAGGACTCCACTGAGTTTGTCACCTCCCAGTTCCGCAGTTCCAAACCGGATGACGGGAGTTGAACCATCGGGTCTCGGTGATTGAACAACTTCGAAGTTCGCTTCAGAGCTGTAAACAACTCTCCTGCCATCACCATCTCGCACCAGCATGATATCAGAACCATCTGCAGAGGTAGAACCATCCAATAAGAATCTGAATGATGTCTCGTCATTCACTGGAATACTACCACTCAAAACCGTTTTGGTCATGAGGCTGTTTAGTGGTCCCTGCTTGGTCACGAGAGTTTTGGTAGCGGTCACTAGTAATTCCTTGCCTACCACGGGGTCAACTGCAGTATGAGAACCGCGAAACGGGTCGCTTGGTACTGTCTGGATGTTGCCAGCGTTGAATACCGTCGACGAGGTAAGTCGTATAGGTTCGGCATAGAACACACGAGATGATTTAGTGGTAACATGGGCGTAGTGTCCATCGATGCGCGTACCCTGAATCACAGTAACGTACTCCGAAGTCGTACGGTCATTCACGAATGTCACCACAGATGAGGCGATGGTACCTAGCGGTCGCTTTGTTGTTGCGTCTGCGTCCAACTGGTCGAAGATGGTAGTCTCAACTTCCACTGCTGGTGTGATGGCTGAATGAAATAATACTGAGGATGAGGTTCTATATCTGATAACGAGTGGTGACGCAGGAATAAACCTGAGGATGAAGTTCCTTATCTAAGATATCAAATGGTGACGAAGGAATAACACTTAGGATGATGTTACTTTTCAACGATCCAAGGGGTGAATTGTAGAGATGGGAATAAAATTTATCATTACTCTCACAAAAATGCGCCATTTGTATCATGAAAAAATGTATTCAGTGAGTTGACTTTTGTGTCGTTAAAATACAAAATTGAAAAATGTTACTTTTGGATCAACCTTCATTAAATTTATTTGAAAAAAATCAGCGAAAAGAGAACTTTACTAGAAACATGTATATCAAAGTGCCATGGTATCGTTCGTGAGGAACTCGCAAGGAAGTAAAAAGTTTTGCGTTAATTAATTATCTTTCCCGATAACAAGAAAGGCCGGTTTTTATGGTATCGAAAAAAATTAGAATCATCGATTCTGCGTTATATACTTAATTTGATTCGAATTCAGGATTTATTTTAAAAAAGCGTTAACTTGACTTGAGTTCTGGCGAAGTATCAATTTGTACAAAACAATTTTGTCTAATTCAAGCTCTTAATAATCCTTTCAACTATCTTTTCAATTTTTCCAGCTCTCCGAAAAGGAGCTAAAAATTATGTACCGGCTTAGTAATGTGGGTTGAAATTGCAGTTAACTTAACTTCAGTCAGAACTTTAAAAATAACTGTCGAGTGGATATGAATGGTGAAATATAGCTTTTTCTTACGTGCGACGTCGTCTTATGAAAAATGCTGACACGAAAAGTAAACAAGGAAAAGTTAAAAGGCTCCTATAAGAAGAACCTACGTATTGATAATGAGAAAGATAGTTATTACAAGATCACGGGACAGTTCACGAAGGTATTTAGTGGATGAAACGATGTGGTAATTAAATACCGTTAATTGTCATAACTTAGGCTGAGCTACATAGAAAAATTATCTATTAAAAAAATTATCTATTAACAGCATGACATTTGAATGGATAATTCAAAATTCTCTTTAGACAGCAGCAACTGAAGAAAATTTTTATTGGAAATCAAAGGTAATTGAAGGGCAGATCGACGTTTGAAGAGGGAATATAAGACGGTGGAACAGGGGAAAATAAGACGGTGGAACAGAGGCATGTTTATATATCTGTATGGAGGCTGTACAAACTCTGCGTACAGAAGATAAAGGAAGTATATGAAAAGACGACAATTGTGAAGAAAAATCAGGAACCTAAAGTGACATGAAGAACAAAATGTAAAATAACGATAAAACAGACTATGAAGAATAACAAAATAACGCGTGGCAATGAAGGTTATGAAGATTGATAAGGTGATTGATAATGAAGGCAGTAACTCAGTCATAATAACAGTAATTCAGCAACGTCAATAACCATCAAAATAATATCGTCATGCTGCATAAAAAAAAAACATATTTTTACGGGACTAAATTACGAAAATGTAAGAATTTTTCTCATCAACATCAACTTATTAAACTTGCTTGCATTTTTCACGCTCTTTATTATTATTGTTATCTAATTTATTGTTATTTTTATTTATTTATTCGCTCGCGACAATCTTGTCACTTAAATTTTGAAATTTTAATTTCTTTTTTTTTATGGGGAGGTTTCTTTCCCGATGTAGAAACTTTCAATAATAATCAATGTTATTTTATCAATTTAATTATAATCAATGTTACGCAATTTTAATCTATTTAATGATAATCAATGTAATTTTAATGACAGATTGTGAAGCAAAAAATAACCCCTGCGCCGTGGGTAGAACCAAATAAAAATTTACAGACGAGTCAGCTTCTGGTTCGTAGCACCAGAAGCGACTCTAAATTTTGTTAGGGAAACAACCTACCGTTCAGAGCTGTTCGTCGGGGCCTCGCACCCCCAGCGGGGCCCTGCTCGCCCCCCTGGGGCCACACTGCGCCCTCCAGCCCCGTGGTGTCCACGGCCTCTGCAACAGAAATCAATTTTAAAACCTGGTAATGATTTTTCATGTATAATTCCATTATTTATTAATATTGTATAATATTAAAGGTACAATGATCTGTTTAATATGAAAATTATGCAAAAAAATTAGTTTTAAAACCGGGTAATAATTTTTTATGTATAATTTCATCATTTATTAATATTGTATAATATTAAACGTACAATGATTTGTTTAATATGAAAATTATGCAAAAGAAATTAGTTTTAAAACCGGGTAATAATTTTTCATGTATAATTTCATTATTTATTAATATTGTATAATATTAAAAATACAATAATACAATTATTTGTTTAATATGAAAATTATGCAACAGAAATAAACTGTAAAACCTGGTCATGATTTTTCTTGTAGAATTTCATTATTTACCGATATAGCGTAATATTATAGTTACAATGATTTGTTTAATATGAGAATTATGCAATAGGAATTAATTTTAAAACCGGGTAATAATGCTTCATGTGGAATTTTATTATTTATTAATTTTGTGTTATATTATAGTTACAATGCAACAGTGTAATATGAGAACTATAGAAAATTTTATTGATTCTGTATTATTATAATTACTTATATATCTATGTATTAATTGTATAACTAATAATTATACATGAAGTAGTTATTGAATTATCACGAAAAATATAATTAATTATTATAAATGAGTATAAAGTAGTTATTGAATTTTATTTACAATATGAAAGTCATTTCATTTTCCTCGATTCTTTGACAGAAACAAATTTTTATTCATCAATTTAAATTCTAATAACCTGTTCGTTTTTTACATCCAATAATTAGTTTATGGTGTCATTTCAGTGACTAATTAACGAATGACATCACAAGCTAAAGTTTCGTGTAAAGATCAATACGAATTTGACAAGATTATGGTATTTTGACAAGATTTGACATTCTTTCAACATCATATTCTAATATCAAACATTTTAACATTTATTAACACTTGAAATGTTTACAAGATATCATCATAAACAATGTGTATACTAGGCATTTATTTCCTTAATTTTATTTATTTATTTATCTGACGTTGAAAAGACGTTGATTTCAGGTTGAAATGTTGAATGACCTAAATTAAACGTTGAAGCAACGTCTAAATGTGACCAACGCTCAAAGAGACGCAGATCAACATAGTTTCAATGTTGAATCAACATCGATCTTGGTACGTTGAATTTTGTTCTATTTTCCAACGTTGATTCAACATTGTCAAGCCAGCATTAAATGAAGTACTTTGTCAAAATCGCCACAGGTTGGAATTGTTTTACATATACGTCCTCAAAAGAGTAAAAGTCATATAATAATAAATCCCAGTAAAATTATGTCAAACAACTAATAATATGACTATGAATTTTTAGCGTGCTACACTGCACCGTGCTGGTTTATTATTATTATTATTTTTTATTATTACTATTATTATTATTATTACTTTTATTAATATTGTTATTATTAATATAATTTTTATTATCATTGTTGCTATTATTATTTTAATTATTATTATTATTATTTATGACCGTCCCATTTACCAGAAAGGCTCAAATTAATGCGAGCCTGTATGGCAAATTTGCAAACAAATTTTATTTATTCATTTTTGTTGTAAAACTGAACTCCCCAGCTTAACATTCACCGAATTCCTTCACATTCATCCTCCGTGATGAAAGTCTTCACGTGTCGCTCACAAACTCTTAAGCTTCAACTTTCTAAACTTAAAATTAAGCGCCTGGGCTAGAGTTATGGTAAATTTAATGCCGGTCACGTGTTGTAGGTTTGAAAGGTGGGTCTGGAAGGTGGGTCTGAAAGGAGGGTCTGAAAGGTGGGTCTGAAAGGTGGGTCTGAAAGGTGGGTCTGAAAGGTGGGTTTGAAAGGTGGGTCTCAAAGGTGGGTTTGAAAGGTGGGTCTGAAAGGTGGGTCTGAAAGGTGGGTCTGAAAGGTGGGTCTGAAAGGTGGGTCTGAAAGGAGGGTCTGAAAGGCGGGTCTGAAAGGTGGGTCTGGAAGGTGGGTCTGAAAGGTGGGTCTGAAAGGTGGGTCTGAGAGGTGGGTCTGAAAGGAGGGTCTGAAAGGAGGGTCTGAAAGGTGGGTCTGAAAGGTGGGTCTGAAAGGTAGGTCTGAAAGGTGGGTCGGAAAGGTGGGTCTGAAAGGTGAGGCTGAAAGGTGGGTCTGAAAGGTGAGGCTAAAAGATGGGTTTGAAAGGTGAGGCTAAAAGGAGGGTCTGAAAGGTGGGTCTGAAAGGTGGGTCTGAAAGGTGGGTTTGAAAGGTAGCAGCACAGCCGCTGTGCGCAATGAGCGAAAGTTTACGCAACTTTCTTCGCGCAGACGCAGGAAGACGTCGGTGCCTGCGTGCATGGAATGTGGATGCGTATAAGCGTCTTGTGGCTGCGTATAAGCGTCTTGTGGCTGCGTATAAGCGTCTTGTGGCTGCGTATAAGCGTCTTGTGGCTGCGTATAAGCGTCTTGTGGCTGCGTATAAGCGTCTTGTGGCTGCGTATAAGCGTCTTGTGGCTGCGTATAAGCGTCTTGTGGCTGCGTATAAGCGTCTTGTGGCTGCGTATAAGCGTCTTGTGGCTGCGTATAAGCGTCTTGTGGCTGCGTATAAGCGTCTTGTGGCTGCGTATAAGCGTCTTGTGGCTGCGTATAAGCGTCTTGTGGCTGCGTATAAGCGTCTTGTGGCTGCGTATAAGCGTCTTGTGGCTGCGTATAAGCGTCTTGTGGCTGCGTATAAGCGTCTTGTGGCTGCGTATAAGCGTCTTGTGGCTGCGTATAAGCGTCTTGTGGCTGCGTATAAGCGTCTTGTGGCTGCGTATAAGCGTCTTGTGGCTGCGTATAAGCGTCTTGTGGCTGCGTATAAGCGTCTTGTGGCTGCGTATAAGCGTCTTGTGGCTGCGTATAAGCGTCTTGTGGCTGCGTATAAGCGTCTTGTGGCTGCGTATAAGCGTCTTGTGGCTGCGTATAAGCGTCTTGTGGCTGCGTATAAGCGTCTTGTGGCTGCGTATAAGCGTCTTGTGGCTGCGTATAAGCGTCTTGTGGCTGCGTATAAGCGTCTTGTGGCTGCGTATAAGCGTCTTGTGGCTGCGTATAAGCGTCTTGTGGCTGCGTATAAGCGTCTTGTGGCTGCGTATAAGCGTCTTGTGGCTGCGTATAAGCGTCTTGTGGCTGCGTATAAGCGTCTTGTGGCTGCGTATAAGCGTCTTGTGGCTGCGTATAAGCGTCTTGTGNCCCCCCTCCCCCACGAGACGTGCCCCTCGCTGCACCCCTTCCGGAGGCTGGTTTACCCCCACTGTGGGTTGGGGGGATACATGGGGGTTGGGGAGGACATGAAAGGAGTGGAGTGAGGTTTGCTGAGGGAGTGGGATGTGGGGGTTAGGCTAGCTGGGAGTTAGGGGGATGGGGGTCAGGATTCCGTATACGAAGAAGGAAAGTAAAAACCTGATCTCCGGTTGAAGGGGGTGGGGGGTTAAGGTAGACGGGGGTAATGGGGAGTCGAGATTAGAGCCAACTAGGGGATTAGGGGGTTTAAGGTAAGGCTCTCTGGGGGAGAGGGCTGGGGGTTAGGGGTTTGACTAGGTTGGGGTCTGGGGTTTTGGGGGTGAGTTAAGCAGCACATTTTTTATAAATGATGAAGGGGTTACAAGGGGTTTAGAGTGTGGTTGGGGTTGAGGGATGCAAGAAAATTAAGGGGGTTAAATAGAGGTAAAAGTTTTCGGGGTTGCGGGGCTAGGTTGGGGATGCAGCGTGGTAGATGCGGGGGTTAGAGGGTGGAGGGACGCGGGGTTAGGCTAGGGGGTTGAGGTGCGGGGGTTTAGGGGGTAGGGGTTGCGCAGGTTAGGTTAGGGGGTTGGGGGTTGGGGGGTTGAAGCGCCCGGGGGCAAGAGAAAGTAAAGGACGAGCCTCGCTGCTGGTAGGCTAGCCTCGAACTCATTAACTGCAGTAACTCATTAACAGCATGACCACATTAACAGCCTTAACTCATTAACAGCCTTAACTCATTAACAGCATTAACTCATTAACTGCATTAACTCATTAACGGCATTAACTCATTAACTGCATTATCTCATTAACTGCATTAACTCATTAACGGCATTGACTCATTGACTGCATTAACTCATTAACAGCATTAACTCATTATCAGCCTTAACTCATTAACTGCGTTAACTCATTAAGAGCGTTAACCCATTAACAGCGTTAACTCATTAACAGCATTTACTCATTAACAGCCTTAACTCATTAACAGCATTAACTCATTAACTGCATTAACTCATCAACTGCATTAACTCATTAACAGCGTTAACTCATTAACGACATTTACTCATTTACGGCATTTACTCATTAACAGCATTTACACATTAACAGCATTAACTCATTAACGGCATTTACTCATTAACAGCATTAACTCATTACCAGCATTAACTCATTAACAGCATTAACTCATTAACAGCATTAACTCATTAACAGCATTAACTCATTAACAGCCATAACTCAATAACAGCATTAACTCATTAACAGCATTAACTCATTAACAGCATTAACTCATTAACAGCATTAACTCATTAACAGCATTAACTCATTAACAGCATTAACTCATTAACAGTATTAACTCAATAACAGTATTAACTCATTAACAATATTAACTCATTAACAGCATTAACTCATTAACGGCATTAACTCATTAACGGCATTAACTCATTAACTGCATTATCTCATTAACTGCATTATCTCATTAACGGCATTAACTCATTAACAGCATTAACTCATTAACAGCCATAACTCAATAACAGCATTAACTCAGTAAGCTGAACAACATTTCAATTTTTTACATTAAGTAGAAACATATATCACTTCGGCTGATAATTTGACGGTATAAAATAAAGAAGGTGGCTTTATATAAAGTCAAGTGACGTTATATAAAGTCAGGCGTTTTTTATGGCCGCCTTATAGGCGCCCCAAGGCCGCGCGTTGCGGCGCCGTTAAGATTCCTTAAGATTTTATACGACGCCGGCGCCCCTCTCTCCTCGTGGGGGGAGGGGGGGAGGGGGACTTGTTGGAGGGTGAAAGGAGAGGGGGTTAGTAAATTAGGGTAAATAACGCCTTTGGGGTAACTATTACTTTTATTTTGGTTAACTATGACGTGTATATGGGGTAATTATACCGTGTATTTGGGGTAGGTATGACGTGTATTTGGAGTAACTATGACGTGTATTTGGGGTAACTATGACGTGTATTTGGGGTAACTATGACGTGTATTTGGGGTAACTATGACGCTGTCTCTTATACACATCTAGATGTGTATAAGAGACAGGCAGACCACGCACCTGCAGACCACGCGCCTGCAGACCACTCGCCTGCAGACCACGCGCCTACAGACCACGCGCCTACAGACCACGCGCCTGCAGACAGTATGCACGCGGAAGTTGCTCAAATGTCAATGCTTCTGTCCAGTAAAAAATAGCGTCCAAAAAGGCCTAAAAGGGCCCAAAAAAGGCCTACAAATAGCTAAAATTTCTTCATTTTAAGGCCAAATTCAAGCGACATTTCCGCGGCCTCATTCCTGAGGAAATTGACTGGGCCGCTTGGATTATAATAATTGGTATATTATAGCATGAATATAGTAATGATTTGTAATATTATTAATATTAATAATATTTTTTGTATTAGTGATTTAATGCAATAAAAATCTAAAAAAGATTAGACGCAATAATACATTAAGCATTCACTGATTTTACACATATTTCCATATAACTTTTTTGTGAAATATATGTTTGTGAATTTATTATAATTCCATATTTTTACACATGAAATATTCATATTTTTAGATAAGTCTATGCATATTTATCGTCAAAACAACTTAAATAAAATAAATAAAAATATAAAATAGATCACAGCTCACTGGTTCGCCTGCTCACATGTACATATCTATGGCCTATACGTGGTCTTTAGAATTATTGTGCAATATACGTGTACGTGTAAAGCTTACGTGCCTACGTGTGCCCAGAAAATGTCGAAGAAAATGGATAGGTGGCCGATAATTGATCCAATTATAGTGGGGAGTAAAATATATGGCGGATAACTGATCCGATTTTAGCCTGGTGTTCAGAACGTATCAAATAAAATACATACATGGCGAATAATTGCTCGATTTATAGTAGGCAAAATATATGCATGGCGGATGGTTGATCCACTTATAGTCTGGTGTCTAGAAAATATCAAAGATAATACATATATGACGGATAACTGATCAATTTGTAGTAGGCAGGAATATATATGGCGAATAACTGATCCATTTATAGTCTGATCTCCCGAAAATATAAGATAATGCCTGTATGGTGAATAATCGATCCACTTATAGTCTGGTCTCCGAAAAATATCAAAGATAATATGTATATGGTGAATAATTGATCCAGTTATAGCGGGCAAAATATATATATGGCGAATAATTAATCCACTTATAGTCTGGTGTCGAGAAAATATCAAAGATAATATGTACACGGCGGATAATTGATCCAGTTATAGCAGGGCAGGAAGAACGTCTTCCTGCTGCGTTGCCTTCGCCAAAAAAAAAGTCCCCCCAAAAAATATGTTCAGGAGGCGAGAAAAAAACACGCGAGGCGGGCAGAAGTGAAAGTTGCGCTGACCTCAACAACTTACTGGGAAT